TTCTTTCCTCACCTTTTGGGAAAGGAGAGGAAGGAGGGCAGATATATAGACAATGTATCTCCTGTATATAAATAGAGAAGATCCCTCTTGTATGGAGTCCCCTGCCACTCGTGTAGGAGAATTTTCCATTCAGCTTTCATCGTTGTCACCCAGGGTGAAGATCTGGGGCAAGGGGAGCTGGCACACTTTAAATTGTTATTATTATTATTTTGAGACAGGGTCTCGCTCGTCGCCCTGGTAGAGTGCTATGGCATCAACCTAGCTAACAGCCACATTTATTATTTAACATTGAGCAATTGACAAGAAATCTGTCTCTGTTCTACCTATGTGCACGTTCAGGATAAAATTAATAAAGATGAACATTAAAAACCCAACACGTACATGTGTGCATGCACTTAACATGCAGAGAGGGGAGAGAGAACCCCCCAGTTGCTATATGCGTAAGTGTGGGGGGCAGGGAGCAGAGGAAGGAACAATGCTTCTTCACCTAGAGCCCACCTTTAGGAAGCTCCATCCTCAGAAGTGAGATGGGCCCCATGCTGCTCTTTCAGTGGCATCCATCCCAGATTTTAAAAGCGTTAACATTAATTTGAGAGCCAAGAACTATGTCCAAACACTTTATCTGTATCTCTTTTGATCCTCACAATTCTATGAAGTAGGTTCTATTTATATCCCTTTTATAGTCGAAGAGACTAAGATAGAGATTTAAGTTATGTGGCCAGAATCAGATTTCAGTTCTCACTTCTCAGGGCATTTGGGGAACAAGTGTTGGAGCCCATGTATCTTACCCCTGGTGGTCCTGTGGTCCTAGCAGACCCTCTCACTTCCCCATCTCTTGTCCCCAAGAGGCAGCTCAGCAGCCAGCCCTGGCAGCTGGGAATTGGTGAGGGTGCCACACACCAAGGCAGTGAGCCCCTGGTGTCCTGAGCCATAGGCTCCTTCCAGGGTAGGTCACAGGGAGAGGAAGAGGGAAGAATAGTAGGAAAGGAGGGAGGGAGGGCACTTTTGGGGTTAGGAATCCTTAGTGGACACCCTTTTTTTGCCTGCCCAGATCCATTTCCCCTCCTCTGTAACAGCACCCCAATTTTCCTTTTGGAACCCACCTTCTTCTTTTCTTAGTCCACATGGTACTGGTGGGGATGACTTCAACCCCTGGCTACATGGGTGCATGTGTGACGCAGGTCTGACCAATCAGGGGTGGCCATACCCCTAATTTGAGCTAATCAGAGTAAATCCTGAGGATTTAGCTGGAGCTATTGGGACAGAGGTGTGCTTTTCCCACTGGAGTTGCACTACCCGGTAGACTACATTTAGAGCATTGGAGGCCCTCTTGGCACCATATGGGAAGAGCCTGTCTGGGAATGAAACCAGAGGAGTCAAGAGATGGTGTCATGGTTAATTTTATGTGTCAACTTAGCTAGGCCACAGTACTCAGATATTCGGTCAAACATGTCTAGATGTTGCTGTGAAGATAGTTTTTAGATGAGATTAAGATTTAAATCAGTAGACTTTGAGAGATTACCCTCCATAATGTGGGCAGGCCTCAACTGATCAGTTGAAGGCCCTAATAGAAAAAAGACTGATGTCCTCCAAGGAAGAGGAGGACATTCTGCCAACAGACTGAATTTGAACTTGAGCTGCAATATCAACTCTTCCCTGGGTCTCCAGCCTACTGGCCTGCCTTGCAGATTTTGGACTTGCTGGCCCCCACAACTGTGGAGCCAATTCCTTAAAATAAAAAAAAAATTCTCTCTCTCTCCCCCTACCCCATGGCTTCTATTTTCTAGAGACCTCTAACTAATACAGATGGCTAGGCCAGAACAGATTCCTGTTTATATTCCATTATTTTAGTACCTTAATCCAGACAAACTTGACATCAAATGCTCCTGGATTTTTCACTTCTATGGTCCTCTTGAGTTGAGTTTCTGTCCCTTGGTCCAAAGGGTCCATCTGAGAAGGCAGCAGTGAGCTCACACCGACTGAGCTCTCATTCTGTGCCAGGCCCAGTGCTCCTCCCCTTTTACAGTTGGTCTATGCCTTGAAGGATGCATAGGACTTCGTGTAGGCATGAGGAGGGCAGTGTGGAGTGAACATGTCAGAGACACAGAGACGTGTTGGAGCATGGCAGGCCGAGGAAACTGAAGAGTTCAATGTGTCCAAAGCAGAGGAAGTGATTGGCAAGAAACAGGACTGGAGAAATTGTTGGGGTCTTGAGGGAGGGGGGCAGTGGTTTTAGGGCTTTGAATGCCAGGCTGAGAAGTTTGGACTTTTTCCTGAGAACAGCAAGGGAGCCATTGAAGACTTTTAAGCAGGGCAGAGACGATGTGATCCAGGCTTTGGCTGGTTCCCTCTGCAGTGGGAAAGACATGACCAGGCAGGAAGAAAATAGAAGCAGAGAGGAATTATTTTCTGGATAGAGATTTTCCTGGTGCCCCTGAAATCAGATTGTATATGTCCTTTCTCATCTACTCGAAGCAGGATCGTACAGTGGCTGATGATGTGGGTTCCTGGAGCCGCCCTGCCTGGTCAGCTCCTTACTGTCTATTTAGCCTCAGGCATGTCGCTTAACGCCTGGTGCGTCAGTTTCCTCAGTGAAGGTAAGGGCATTGTCCACCTCATAGGGTTTGTTGTAATGATTAAATGAGTCACTGTGCATTTAGAGCTCAGCACAGCGCTGGACACACCTAGAATTAGCAGTCATCTTTTTCCCACTAAGACCAGCAGCGGCTCCTGGACTGCAGACCCCAAGCCCCAGGAGGACAAGCGCAGCCCTCTGCCCTCTCCCTGCATGGGGCAGCCCCACCTCCTTCCCCAGGGGCTGCGCCTGGCCTGCAGTTCTCACAGAGGCATGGCCAGCCCGGGCCCCAGGGAGCTGGGAATTGTCACTGCAGGGACAGGAGAGAACAGCACTCTCCGCGCTGGAAACAGATTCTTATCCAAATGTCTTGAGAATTAGGCTGGAACGGGAGAACAAGCTTCCCAGCCCACACAGGCCCAAAGGGAGTGTCTTAGAAGCACAGAGGCCTCAACCTCAGCCTTTTCACCTCGACTTCCAGATACAGAGGTGAGAGGCTCAAAGCCAGCGCGGTGAACCCGGGGAGCGGCTGTGGAAAGCAACTGCGATGAGATGGATAGGATGCCGGAAGTTCAGAGTCAAAGGGCATCCTCAAACCCCCAGGCTTTATAGGTTTGTGTTTCTACTGTGTGGCGCAGAGAAAGGGCAACTCTGCCACCAACTTAAGGGGGATGCTGAAAAGTCACTCCCTCCTTGGCCTCAATTTTCCTGAATATCTAGTGACAGGGGCTGGGGTCTGGGGTGGCAAACACAGTTCATCTGCAGGCCAGACTGGACGGGGTATTGGTGGCCGCCTGGCCGGCCGGTTAGAGAGGCTGGTAAGGAGTAGTGAGTTGGCCCCATGCATGGAAGGGAGGGGGTGGCGCGGGGCAGTCCTTGGCCTGGGTAGGTCTTAGTCCTACATGCTCAGCCTTGGTCACTGAAGTGGATCCTGATCCATCCCCCTGTGGACTCTGGCCTCAGCAGAGCCCCTCATGGTTCCCAGCATGAGTCAAGAACTGCTTTAGGGGGAGGGGGGGAAATGGGCATTTATTGAAACCTTAAAATCTGTACCCCCATAATATGCCGAAATAAAAAAAAAAAAGAAAAAAGAAAAAAAAAAAAGAACTGCTTTAGGTCCTCCCCCCAATAAAAATTCTTTGGGTTTTCTTACCTGGTTAATGCCAATGTCTGCTGGGGAGAGCTGTGTACTTTGGGTTCAACATGGGAAAACTTTCTAATGAGAGTTGATTTCCTTGACGACAATGAAGAGTGAGTCATAAAAATGGGGGCTGAAGCCCACTGAAGCCCAAGTACCCTGCCAGCCCTTGGTGACCTTAAGGCTCAGGACTAGTCACCCACGTTCCCAGCCTCCCATAGGTACCCTTTTCTGCCCTACCCAGTGCACACCTTCCCTGCCCTTCTCCTCTCGCCAGAAGCCAAAGCCTCTTTATCGTCTCACTCATCAAGTCCTCATGTTCAAGCTGAGCTCCAAGGGAGCAGAGCAAGCTGGCGGCAGAGCTGGGAGCCTCGGCGGAACACAGCAAGAAGCAGAGAGGCCGTGAGGCAGCCACCGAGGGACAGAGAGAGCTGCCCCTCCAAGACTCCTTAAATCAGAGCCACCTTCCACTTCCAATCTTGAGAGGCCAGAGACACTGCGTCTCCTGGCCTTGGGTTTCCGTGACATGTCTATCCTGACACAAGCCCACCGTCTTCCCTGCGGCTAGCGTCCTGGTCCCTGTAACCAGGAGGGCCTGACTTGCCCCTGCTGGCCCTTGGAGTTACACCCTCCTGCCTCCTGCCCTTTTCCCTCCCGTGAGGTTCTGCCGGATGCAGTTTCACGGAGGGAGTGGACCCTGCACCTCCGTCCTGTGCCTGCTGTCTTGGTGACCTCGGGAAAAGCAGCTGTGGCCACGATGTCCTTGAGAGAAGCTGGGGAACCCCACACCTGGAGGACACTTTGGGGCTCCTGGCTTGGGCTATGCTTTCTGCAACTGAGCAAAGTCCCTGCCACACGCATTTCATTTCCTGCCATCTCTGCCGGGAAGACACCGAAGCTGGGCCCAGAGGTCTCCTGCTTCCTCAGCCCTTGGCTCCGAGCCAGCCCCGGCCATTTGATCATGTCCTTCACTTCAGACCCAGACCACAGCACTGGGATCTCTTTATCACCCCTGAAGAGGAGCCAAACCCTTATGGGGTTTTTTTATTTGACAACCTTGAATCCACTGCCCAAATCCATACTCACTCCCATAAGCTGGAAAAGAAATCTGTTTACTTTATTAATGAGCTCAGAGTGAGGTTTGGGACAGCAATCCTAGCAGCGGTGACAGTAGGGGCCAGGCAGAAAGATGCAGAGGGACTCAGGAGTTGGGTCTTATTAGAGTTCAAAGGAAGAGTCTCCCAGGGCTGGGAGAGATCAAATTCCCTGGACCAGAGGAAAGAAATCAGTCCAAAATCCCAGAGGCCCTCTCCAAACCGTTGGCGGCACCCTCCTCTCCATGTTGGCCTTTGGAAAAGTGGCCAAGGTGCTCCTCAGCCAGCCCGGTTCAGGGCCAGAGGGAGTGTGACATTCCCGGGTGCTGGGTGCAGGTGTCCAGGGCTACCCACTGGGCCTGCAGGCTGGCCCCCTCCAGGCTGCTCCTAGGCTTTGTGTTCAGGACGTGGGGCCAGAGCTCATCGTCTTCTAGGGGTGAATTTGGTTTCCTCTCCTGGACTTCAGAAGAAGGTCCTGCGGGGGAGAGGAAACAGACCAGGTGGGTGCCGGCCTTGTGGACGCACACTCAGCTCAGGGCAAGGTCCACAAAGGGGAGCAGCCTCCCTGCCAGCCTCCGAGGCCCCTCTCGGTGCAGGCCTAAAGTGGCTGCCCTCTAGCCACAGCCACAGCACGCAGGAGGTGGGGAGAACACAGCAGGGATGCCCAGTATGGGAGGGGAGGGTTCCGGGAGGAGGAGGGATGGGGGTCCCTTGCAAAGAGCAAGTGACAGAAAACATAGGGCCATTTAGGCTTCCTCAGAAGCCACAGTATAGTAAGCCAGCTGTCTTGGAAGCATGAGGCCCTAATGTTTTGGGAAACTTGTAACAGAAAAGTCAACAAGTCCCGGCTTGGGTCTGCCCCAGATGCTGCCAGCTGTAGGCTTCAGGCCACACCAAACACCAATTTCACAGCCACCTGCTAGCTCTGTCCATGGGCACAGCCCTGTCACGGGGCAGAAACACATCCTGAAGCTGAGCTCCACGGTATGCCCCACAGATAGAGCTTGGAGCCAAGGGATGGAGAAGGCACAGGGGACAGTTTGGTCTGAGCAGGGCACAATAGGACACAAGCAATCCTAATCCTCCAACCCTGGTTCTTTGGACCAGCCTTGAAAACCTCTTAATAGCCCTGGCTCTGCCCAAGCAGGGGAGCTGGGGTGGAGCAGGGGCTCCCAGCAGGGTGGTATTCACAGGCAAGGGAGGCACATTTTGCTGAGGACACCTCTTGGGGGACATTCCAGCTGGGCTTCCCATGGGCTCTCTGCCCAACACGCCTACTTTGAGGCACTGTCTGCACCCAGCAGAGAACAGTGCTCAGTGTTCCATCCTGCTCATGTGGGTGCTGCTTGGGACCCAAGGCAAGTCCCAAGGGCTGTGGTGAGTCAGGACACCAGGTCCCAAGCAAGTGCTCCGCACCACTTCCCGGAGGGGGAGGGTCTCTGAGTCCAACAGAATTCCAGTGTGGCCAACAGCAGGCCCTAGGGGGCACTGCAGGGATGGCATCTTGTGTACCCTTCCAGACACCAGTCCAAAGAACCTGCCGACAGTGTGGGCAGCAGATGGCCACTGCATGCAGCATGGACAGCCAGGGCCCCGTGGCCTGCCTGCCTATTCACCGTGGGCTCCAGCTGCAGGAGGAACCCGTGTCTGTGCACAGAAGCACGGTCTTCAAGGAGCTTTCGGACTGGCTGGGGGCTTTCGGCTGCGGAGGAGGGAAGAGAAGAGCTACAGACACAGAGCAGAGTGGGAAACACAAAACAGGGCTCGGTTACTCCCAGGCAGAGCACCACTGGACCTCTTCTCTCTCTTGGCTCCTGCCTCAGGGTCTGCCCAGCCCCAGGGCACCAGAATCAGGAGCAAGCAGACCTCGGTCTCTCTGAGACATGCCCAGAACTCAGCCTCTGCTGGCTGGGGAGCAAGCAGGCACAGCCACGCCAGGCAAGCAGGGTGTGAGCGGTGAGTGTGTGGATGGCGGGCGGGTGGCAAGGGGGAGGGATGTGATGTGATGAGGTGAAGGTGGAAGGGAGACACCACAGAGTCAGGGAGAGATGGGTAAGAATAGATGCAGAATGACAAAGACAGAGAAGCAGGGACTCAGAGCCAGGGACAGAGAGAAACAGGAAGCAAGAAAAGGAAAGAGGAGAGGAGTGAAAGGGACAGAGAGGGACAGATTAGAGAGAGAGAGAGAATGACAGGAAGGATGGGGAGAGAAAGACAGAGGGAAAGACAGAGAGAGAGGGGAGAGAAGACAGAGAGACCCAAACAGATACAGACACGCAGGGACCCACAGAGAAAGAGATCAAAGATCCAAGGCTCCCTGGAGATCTCACAGGGTGGGGACAAAAGCCTGTGGTCTTGGCTGCCTAGAGATACAGCATGAGTGCATTGAGCTAGACATCAGGAAGGCCTTCCAGAGAGTGAAGGATGGACAGAGAAATCTTTAAACTATCTGATAACAGTGCAAGGGGTAAAGTTCTGAGTGGGCAATAAAACATCCTGAGTCTTTGTCCCAACTTCATCTGCTTACTTGGTCTGAGACCTTGTGCCTCAGTTTTCCATATGTAAAGAACAATTCAGACAAGACAGCCTGGGAGGCAGATCTGATAGTACTTGAGGACGGTGCGCTAGGATTTCTGTAGCCCAGGAGTTTTCTAGGAGCTCTGATTACGGGAAGCTGTGTGCTCGGGCCATTCCTTCATGCTGAGTGAAGGCTCGGGCTGGGCGGGGTGGGCTGGAGGAAGGCAGTGGAGATTCTGGAGTAGGAAGAGGAGGTCAGGGGCCTGCACACACTTACAGCTCATCGTCGTACTCCTTGGGGGGACAGACAGCAACCACGAGGTCGATCCAGTCCTGTGGGGAGAGGCTGTGTGAGTCTGGGGCACACTCAGGCGTGGATGATGTGTCTGCCCCTGGTACTCCGTTCTCATTTCTGGGCACCAGGGCCCGGATCAACCAGCTGGGGCCTTCTCCCCACGGGGAGGCAGGCACAGGCAGGGCTGGAGGTCCTCCTGCTACAGATGGGCCCAACTGTGGGGTCCCAAGGTCTGGGGAAGGGTCCAGTGTCTGAGGCTTCAGAACCATAGAGGCCAGGGTTGCAAGGCCCTCAAATGACACTAAGTTCCCAAATGCTGATCTACGGATCTGGGCCAGGCAGTGACTTCAGAATTACTTAGGGGAATTTCTTAAAAGTATAGACTCATGGACTTGGCCCCTGGAAGTCTAGGGTGGGTCCTGGGGAGCAGTATTTTAACAAACTCCCCAAACTCATGCACAGGCAATTGGGGAACCTCTGGCCTAGCGTTTTGATCCTAACACTTGAATCCCCTCAATGTCATTACTCCTTGGCTTGGGTATATCCATTGAGAAGTATCTGGAATATCACTGGGCCCCTCTACCATGTGACAGCTCCTAACATTGACCTCAAATCTCTCTCTCTCCCCAGGACCTCCCTCCATCCAATCCAGCTCTGCCCTCAAGAACCAGAGAATACTTCTGCTCCCTCTACCCTAATGCAGCCCTTCAGATAATCAAAGACAGTCATCATGTTACCCGTGAGTCTTCTCTTCTCCATATCCCTTCATGTGGGTCCCAGGCCCATCTGGTCAGCTTCCTTGGCACTGAACTTAATACCTCAGGCTCCGCTGCCTGCATACAGTTGCACAGGTTGCGCATTGCACAATATGAGTGGGCACCATTCACACTACAATCTGTAGGAGGGCACCCCCTCGGATTGTGCAGTGCACAGCCTGGGAGACCTTATGTGGTGGCCCTGACCCAGGAGAGTGTCTAATGAGCACAGAGCAGATTACCAACAGCCCGTCCTTCATCTTGGGTCCTCTAGTTTTGTTAATGCTTTCTAGGAGCCCCCAGAACTCTCTCAACTCCTGTTCCATGTGCACTTGGAAAAGACGTTTAAGTCTTTTTCTTGGGAGGGCTGCCCTGCCCAGTCTTTTGGAGTTGGTTTGTGCCACTGGCTTTTGGGACTCAAGGTCAGAAATTGACATTTATTTTTCTGAATTCTATCTTGTTAGGTTTTGACCATTGGCTGCATGGGGTATGTGGGTGTCACCCAACAGTTGCCTGGACCCTAGACACCCGCCCTGGGGTGGGGCATCCTAATTGTAAGGCCTGGCTGCATAGACCAGGGTTTGAGGCAGGCAGGTGAGGGAGGGAGGGTGGGAGGGGCTTGTTCGTACCCCACCCTGGTTCCAAGCCTTCTGCAGGGCAGCCTCAGCCTCAGCCAGAGTGTAGTCCGTCACAATCTTGCCATTGATCGCCATGATCTCATCCCCTTTCACGATGCCACCTGCAGGAAGATGAGGCTGATTGGCCCACTGGACTGTATGTGACATGTGCCTGGCCCAGAACTTGGCAAAAAGGGGTCACTGTGGGGCCATAGAAGAGGCCTGACCCTGGGTTCTGAAAGCTCACGTGGGCCCAGAAGGCACAGGGGCAACTACCCACCACCCAGTAACTCAAAAGGCATATCCTCCCCCTTCCGCTCGCACACCCTCACCCCAGCTCAGTAGAAGGACACAAATGATGAATCATTGCACCCAGATCTTCATGGGCCCCTGTTGTTGCAGAGGGAGACAGACCTGCATTTCCAGTGGGACTGTCAGAGTGAGTTCTGCAAACTGTCCCTCTGCTGCCCAGCAGTGCTGCTCTGCCTCGGGTCCCTGAGCGTGCAAGCTCTCCCCTGCCTCAGAGCCTTCATATACTGTTCCATCTGGAATGCTTTTCCCCTTTCTCTCTTCTCTTCTTCTAGTGTGGGATGAACTGTCTCCTCCTCAGAGAGGGCTTCTCTGACCCCCACTCAGCCTGAAGTAAGTCTTTCCTACATGGCATTTTTCACAATTTGTAACCATAAATCTATTTGTTCACTTGTCTATCACCGAATTCTCCCACCATACTGTCAGCTTCACCAGGGTAGGGACTGTCTTTTCGGTTCGCCACTCTATTGCCAGTGCTTAACATCATGCCCGGCACAAAAAAGGAACTCAATAGGTATTTGTTGAAAAATGAATGTTGTTAAAAGGTGTTCTTGGATAAACTTTCCAGTGATCTAATAACCTTGGGGAAACTGAGTTATAAGCTAAACAGTTACTCACTGCAGGACTGGTCAGAGTCTTGAATATACTAATATGCATTGCAGCTGTCCAAGAAGTGGACAGATTGTACACAGATTCCCATACCTCTTTGACATCAGAGCTCTTTTTTGAGGAAATTCCCCCAGTCTTGAGGTCCAGAACACTCCAGAGCACTCCAGGTTACATTGAAATAGATCAGCCAGAAACCTTGTGTGTATGACGGCCCATGGGAATGTGGTGTGTGTTACTGATGACGGCAGCTGTGGTGGCTTAAACGATGTGCTCCTGGGGCAAGTTCCACCAGCTTCTGGCAGGTCCAAAGCAGTGAGGACCAGACTGTAGATGGCAGTTTCCTCTGCACTGAGGGTAGGTGACTTGCACTTTTTCATTTTGTACAAACCTAAGATGGAGCCTCAGGGGCAATAAGGCAGCAGTTGGGCTGGGGCTTTGTAAGTGGGGAGGACCCAGGAGAGTCACTCATCCATCCTGGTCCTCTCCCTGCTTGGACACGGCAGGCAGGTGGCTTTCCTGGGCCAAGTAGCAACCCCTCCCCCAGTTGGCACAGAAGTGAGGACAGAGGAGGAGTGGGGGGGCCACGGCAGCTGCCTAGCTGAGCAGATCCTCCCTCCTCGAGCTGGAACGAAAGCTCAGAGTGTGGCTGAGTGGGGCCTGAGGCCACTGAGGCCAGGGTGCAGAGCTGGACTTAAGCCGAGTCTCCCGGTGGCCACACCTGCCCTGGTAGCCACAGAAGCCTGGCTGCCAGCCACCAGCTGGCTCTCCCTTCTCCCTGTCTCCTGCCCCGGGCCCTCACCTTTTACCACCTCCCGCTGGAGGGAGAGCCCGACTGCAGCCCAGGACTGCCAGAGGGATCTGATCTTACAGTTGCCTGCTCTAGCCGGGGAAGGTAAGAGGCCTGGGACTCCTCCTCCATGGGGCGCCCAGGCCTCCGCGGAGGACGCAGGAGCCTCCCTGACTTGGGAGAAAGAATCACTAAGGGAGTGACATGCCTGACAGGTGAGTGGGCTCATAGGCTGAAGCAAGAGGCGGAGCCTGGGGTCCGCAGAGGCTTCCCACATCAGCAGAGGCTGCTTTTGTTGCTAAGTGGATACATGCAAAGCCAGAAGATCCTGCCGCAAAAGAGACACAGCTCGTGTGTGCGTAGGGGGTGCTCTGGCTCTCAGGAGGGGGCCCGGCTGCGCCAGACCTCACGACCAAACTGCCTGGACCTTTTACTAGCTGTGGGTCCTTCAGCAACTGCTTTAACCCCCATGTGCCTCAGTTTCCTAAACTGCAAAATGAGAATAATAATAGTACCTACTTCCGGGGCTATTATGAGGATTAAACGAGTTAGTATACACAAAACACTCTGACAGAGGGTTATGTGTCCGGTACTTAGAATAGCATCCGGCACATGGTTAGTTCTCAACAAACGTGTGGCTCTTGTCATCGCTGGAAGGACAGGCCAGGTTCTGAGGGTTTCTCTCTGCCTTTCTCACTTTCACCGGCCAGCACTGGCTGAAGCTCAGCCCAGGCACTGCCCTTCTAAGGAGCCTTCCCTCAGGGCTCCCATGGCTCCCCCAGCCCCTGAGCTCCCCGTAAGCCCTCAGCAGACTGTCCTGTGCAATCAGTCCCTGGCGATTCTGAGCATGTGCCACCACTGGCCAGGGAGCCCCTGGAGGGCAGGCTGGCATCTGGTTTGGTCCTGACACCATTGCATGCCCTCAGGTGACACGTGGGACTGACTGACAGGTGGCTGGACGGGTGGGCATTCTTGAGCCGACCGCCAACCCACTCTGAGTGGGTAGCTGTTTGCTCTCCTGCAGGGCCCTGTGTGACCACTGCACCATCCCCAACAGGGGCCTGGCTGGTCCCCACTCACCATGCCGCTCGGCGGCTCCCCCCTCATAAACAGCAGAGACGACCACCTTCCCGATCGGGGAGTCCACACCGCCTTCCAGGGCCAGGTCTAAGGATCCTTCCTGGTTAGAGGACAACAGGCTTTAGGGAGCCAAGCACACCAAGGAGCCTCCTGACAGAGCCACAGAGAGAGCAGGAGGCGCCATGGGGCCACTGGCGGTGCCATCGGGGAGAAAATGAGGTGGGGACATTAAGCGGGGGCTGGGAGGGCAGCCACGCCCCAGGAGGGGGCATCTCGGGAGACAGGGGAGGATAGTGGGGACCTGAGGGGCCCCGAGGAGTCACCTCGAGAATAGGAGAAGCAGGAACCAAGGTGCAGGGGGCAGGGGCAGGGAAGGAGGGTGGCCCACCCAGCGCCCTCCATGTGCCCAGCTACCTTCTTAATGCGCAGGAGCCGGACATCCTTCCCTGTGATCTGCTCCGGGCTGAACTAGATGGAAAAGACAGTGGGAGCTTTGAGCTGGCCTGAAGGGTGGCGGTGGGAGCAGGGGTGGAGGGGACAAACCAGGCAGCTGGGGGACACCGGGCCCCACAGAATACACAGCCCCAAGGACCATTCCCTGCCCCCCCACCACCGGTCTTCAGCTGGGATCCCAGGCCCCACAGGGGACAAGGACAAACGCGCACGCACACCATACAGTGAGCTCTGGAGGGCCATCTGGGAGGAGCCTCGGCAGGAGAGAGCAGCTGGGGTGTCCTCAGGGCATCCCATGTGCCCTGACCTCGTCCCAGAGTCCCAGAGCCCAGAGTCCAGAACACACCAGCGTCAACTGCTCTAACCCACCTCCCAGGACAGGAGAGTTGACTCTTACCATGGAGTAGGGGTCAAAGCCTTCCTCATATTTCCGGAAGTCCTGGAAGCAAAGGGGGGTGTTCAAGGGGACAGAGCAGAGGCTCTCAAGGCTCACAGCAGAGGAGGAAGAGGGTGAATGCTCGGAATCCAAGGGAGGAGGGGCAGGCGTTGCCTGGGTGGGATGCAGGGAGGAGTCTGGCAGCCCCCACAGCCAGGGTGCCCTTGCTTGGGGACAAGCAGGAAGCTGCAGGAAGCATTGAGAGCACGGTCCCAGCAAGGTGGACATCTGGGGCCACAGGGGCACCACCGCCATCTAGATGGCCTGGACAGGCAGGTACCCCCCAGCCACAGGTCCTCGAGGGCACACCTCCTCTCTTCCCAGTTCCTGCTCGAGGTGGCGCCCAGGCCCCAGGGGATGAAGCCCTGTGTTTCTCCACCCCGTGCTCTGGCCCCACAGAAGAGCCAGTCCTGCTCTTCTTGGGGAAGCCAGCCCTGAGATGCCTGAGGGAGAGGCAAGAGGCACCCAGTGGGAAGGGGGCAGTGGTGGTGAGGATCTGTGGTGGCTTAGTGCCTGGCACTGCTCTTAACGCAATGCTTACCTAGAAGGTTCTGGCGAGTTCTTGGCCCTTTAGCCAGGGGAGGAAGAGGAGGAGAACACACAGCTCAGGGGACCTGGCTTGATGGGGGCTGCTGTGGGGACAATGGCCCCAAGATTTAGGTACAAGACAGTGAGGAGAAGGGGGTAGAGCCTGCACACACAGCCTTGCTCAGGAGTCACGCACAGTGAGCGGGACCAGGGGCTGGGATGCTAAGTGAGAGATCAGCAAAGCCAGGCTAGTCTCCATGAGGGGCAGAGCGAGGAAAAGCCCCTTGGCAGGTGCCCACACAGGCCTCACCAGACTGAGTGGAGCCACCCTCAGCACACAGGTCCCCAGACCACACCAAGTGTCCCCTGGGGCCTGTGGTCAGCGTGATGGGGAGGCCACAGACCCCCCCCCCCATGCCCAGCAGGCAGCAACCAAGCTCTGAGAACAAGATGAGGGCCACATATCAGCAGGTGGGTCCTTGAGCATGTGCCTGCCATCCCTCCTCACTGGCCTTCATCTCCCGGGCTCAACCCCAGAGAGGCCATGGGCCTGGCTCAGCTCAGAGTCCACATCCGGACAGGAGAGGGTGCAGCAGACTGAAGGAGGGATGGGGTGATCCACTGGTGAGAGGGGGTGTCAGGCAGTGGTGCTCTTTCACTGAGGGGGCCCTGCCTACCCCTGGCTGTTTCTTCTGGAGGGCTGGACAGTGCTGGCTACGGGCCTTCACTCTCTGTGACCCTGTGCCGACCTGCTCTCAGGGATGGGCCAGGTGGCAGGTACTTGAGTCTTGTGTGAATTTAAATGGGAGCTTCACAAAGCATTACAGCTTGTTGGCCCCTAAAGAGGGAATCCAACCCCTCATTCAACAGACAAAGAAACTGAGGCCCAGAGAGCTAACATTCATGCCCATAGAGGTGACATTCATGCCCAGGGTCACTCAGTGGGCAGGGGAGCAGGGGTTCGACTCCAAGCCTGAAGCCTAGGCTGTTTGTGCCCTAAACTACCAGGTCCTCAAATGCCTATTAAGTAATGGCAGTGCTTCGAGAGGCAGGACGGTGTAGCATTTACCAGCAGACTACAGAGCCTGACCTCCTGGATTCAGATCCAGGGACTGACACTAGCAGTGCCATCATGGGCCTGTTTTTAACTCTCTCTGCTTTAGTGTCTCATCTATACAATCGGGATGATACTAGCACTTAGCTCCAAGGGTTGTGGTAATGATTAAATTTACAAATCCCTGGCTGCCAGGAGCAGTCCCTTTTGCAGACACCTGTATCTCACTGCACAGCTGACACCTTCCTTTTGCTCCCTGCCTGTGGTCAAGTCAGCCTGCAGTCTGAGGAGGGGAGGTGGGGAGCAGGGCTGGCTGCAAGATCTCTTTTATCTTGGGGTCTCTTTCATCGGTGATGAAACAGCCAGTCCGATGCCGGCTCTGGGAGATAAGCCCCAGGGGGCAGGGAGGACAGGTGGCTGCCGGCCTGATACCACTCAATACCACTCAGAGGCCCGCAAGGACATCCACGTCCCTGTGCACAGGAGCACTCTGGGCAGATGAAGGCCCTGAGCCACCTCTGCCTCCCTTATGCTGGTTCAGTGTCAGGGAGGGTTTGGTGAAGCTTTGACCTCCCTGCAGGGGACAAGACAGAGGAAGGTGCAGGGAGACATCTACGGTAGTCCCTGCCCTCTCTGGAGCAAGGGCCCATCTTGGCCTCTGTGACCCTCTGAGGGCTCCTCTGCTCTGCTTCCCTTTGGCCAAATAGCAGCAAAAAAATTGCAAGCAGCCAGGGGCTTTGCTGTTTTCTCAGCTTGAGCACAGGGTCTGACAAGCCCTGGGTCCCCTCTGATAGGAAATCCTCCCAGCCCCTGCCACGAGCAACAGGGGACACGGTTCTGGCCTTGGGCTCCCTGGCAGACGGTGCTTGGGGCCACCGTGGACCCCGCAATTCCGGAGAGAAAGAAGTCAGGCACAGAGTGGCAGAGACAGGGGTGGTAGGGAGGACCCCGGACACACGGCGGGTATCATTTTACTTGTCTGAATGCTGTCTGATAAACCACCATCCTCTTCAACATCTCCTGTGGCTGCCAGAAAAAAAAAATAGTTCCACACTGGACTTTTCCGGTAGGTCTCGTCTGCCCCCTGGTGCCAGGCCCTGGGCTGCCAGCCTGGGGCTGCCTTGCCAAGGCCCTCCCCAAGCAGACGCGGTCTGACTGCAGTCAGGGCCTGCTGGACGCCCACAGATGCAGCAGCTACCCATCTGTTGCCAAGCAGACACCGCCCCTTGTCATTAGCCAGAGAACACCACATGGCTGCATCCGCGGGTTGTCCCAGGAGCATAAGTCTTGCTCTTTGTGGAGCTGATAGCTAAAGCTCAAAATAATTAACTGAGCTGTCCTGTCCTGACCTGACAGATATATAAGGATTCCTTGAGAGGGAAATAAAAATTCTGGCATGACTGTCTTCCCACTGTGGGAAGGTACTGTGGCCGGCAACTCTGAGGGGTGCACGGGATTCCCTGTTCCCTCAGCCGTCAGTCACTGGGGGTGGGCAGACCCTCCCCACTGCCCAGGACCACAGCTCAGACTGCCCGTCCTAGTGAGGAGCGAGGAGGGACGTGGGGAAAGAGAGTGGGTGTGCTCTGGCCAGTTCCCCATCTGATGGGTCCCACACCAGGCCACAACCCATCTGAGGGTGTTCCACACCAGGTCACAACAGGCCTCAGGGCAGAGGCCAGGGCAGCTAGAGTCACTGTAGGTTCTGGCAAGATGGCAACATGGGTAAGAGCATGGCTTTGGAGTCTGAAAGATGTAAGGAGTGAGTCCAGGCTCTCTCTGCCTTGCCATGTGCTGGGCTCTGCAGAGTCTCTTTTAATCCTCACAATAATCTAGTGAGATGGTTCCCCTGAGGCTCAGAGAGTTTAAGTGGGCTGCCCAAGGTCCTAAAAGTAGTAATAATAACAGATAAGACATATCTGTTATTATTACTACTTTTAGGAGGTCAGGCTGTGGTCTCATGGGGAACAGGAATTCCTGGTCACACCAGCACCATCCCACACCCATGTGGATGCATCTCCTGGCCAAGGAGGTTACAAGATGGCACCTGACCTGAGTTTGTGTCCCACCCCACCCTCCCTGCAGAGGCAGCAGAACCCAGGGAGACAGCCCTGGTCTGCTCCTCTAGAGATGCCCTGGAGGGGGCCTGGGGGGCTTACCAGGACCTCAGATTTCACAGCTGGCCTGTAGATGAAGTTGGGTTCCTGGTGGACCATGACAGGTTTGGAGATGGTGGACACTCCAGGGCCTCGAGGAGGCTGTGGGCTTGGGCAAAATGTCTACGGGGGTTAGTTTAAGAGATTCATGTGAAGTCTTGGGTGGCCAAGGCCAGCTGTAGTACTTTCACGCATGCAAACACACACCCATGCACATGCTAAGGCAGTCTGGTCCATTCGCCCTGCTGGGGCCCTGGGGGTGTGATCTTCAGCAGAGAGGAGAGAAGCCCGTTGGCCACAGTGTGGTCGGAGGCCACGGAAACTACTGGTGGGCTCTACAGAATCAGACACTTGAGCCAGAGCCTCACTGAGGGTGCCAGCAGCCAGTGTCATTCAGAGGACACACTTTCAAGGCTCTCTGTCACACTATCAAGGCCATGGGTGCCATCTGGTGTCCCCTCCCTTCAAGGGCTATCTCTTCTGCCACAGCTCCAGTCCCTGCCCTGCAGCCTGCAGGAAGCATCTGCTGCTCCTGGTGGGTGGGCACAGTCTCTAGAGGTCACAGGGTGAGCAACCTGCCTGCTTTGCTCTAACCCGCCTGATCATCTTGGGCAAGACTTATCTGACAGGGTGACGACCTTGCCCCCAACCCTTCCATGGGTCCCCACTGCTGAGCTCGATGGCTGAGCTTGAGAGCTGGACCCCTCAGTGCCCTCCACGAGCTGTACCTTCCTCAATTTAGCCTCCAAAATGCTGGGCTTTCTTCTTTGAGGCCTTTGCACATGCTCTTTCCTCCTTCTACCTACCTGCCCAGGTCTTAGCCCAGGCACCACTCCTTCTGGAAGCTTCTCTTGAGCTTTTCCTCCACCCCCACTCCTCACAGCACCTGTGCTTCCCGTCTCCACCTGGTTGTGTAGGAGTTGCTGGCTTACTCGTCTCTTCCCCACCAGACTGTCTCGGCAGGGACTGAAGCTGTCTATCTAGTGGGGGTCCCCAGCATCCAGCACGGGGTCTGGCATATAGTAGGTGCTCAATAAACATGTGTTGAATGAATAAATGAATGACTCAATAGTATGGGTACGTTGGACACTGCCTGGCGGTAGTCCTGAAAACCTCCCTGTGGCAGGTACCAGTGTGACAGGTGCACATGTTAAGCTGACACAGGTATTTGTTGCCATGACCTGGGGCCTGCTGATCGCTAGGATGACTGTGTAGGTGTGTGGTCACCCACACTTCCTGCTGCAGCACGATGACAGCTGGCCAGGGGCATGTTGGGATGAGAGGATTGGGCAGGGTGGGCGGTGCAAGAGTGAGAACTCTCACACGGACCCAAGGAAGCTGATCAAACAGCAGCCTCCTGGCCTTCAAGTCAGGGACAACCCCGGCTTTGATGTTGCTGGAGACATTTATGGTTCAGGTCTTCAGAGACCCCTTGGGGAGCTTTTAACCGTCCCTGTGCTCTGATCAGGAACTAACAGTGGGAACATTGTAATGCCTTGAAGAATCAGACAAAGCTGGACCAAAGATTCAAAGTCAAGTCCTGATTCTTGACTCTATTTCAAAGTTTTGCTGCAATTTCCTCCAATCCCACATTTACAGCTTCAGCCACATTTTCTAGTACTCTGGACTCTCAATAACCATAGTTAATGTCTACCGAACACCCACTACATGCCTGCCCCTCTTCTCAGTACTAACTTGGGATGCGTTCATGTATGAACTCATTTGGTTCTCATAATAGGTAGGTGCCATTAGCTCCCCCCTTTTATGGATGAGGATGTCCAGGCTCAGAAAGACAGATGTGGTAACACATGCCCAAAGTCTCCCAGCCGGTAAGTAGCAGACCCGGGACTCAAACCTGGGCAGCCTGACTCCTGCTGCTCCTCCTCACCATCTGAATGCTCCCGGCACCTGCCACGTCCTGCCTCCCATCCTCCACGTGATCTATGCCTATTTTATAGCAAAATCCTGCCCAGGAGGCTGCACATCCTTCAGGTGGCAAGTCCTGGAAAGCACAGCTGTACCAATCCCCTCCGTGTCCTTTTCAGCCCTGCCGCCCTCCCCCTGGCAAAGACAGGCACAGCACAACCACTGCTTGTGGAATCAAATTTGTTGAGGAAAAGCTACTGCTCATTTGGGTGGAGGACACCTACAGAGAAGGACGTGGCCCTCTGTGCCAGGGTAACTCAGCGTGGGCACAGCAGCTCTCAGCTGGGCTCTGTCATCCCCAGAACACACTTCTTCCTGCCAGAGCTGCAGGGCTCAGGGCCCTCTCCAGGGGTCCAGAGGGGTCTCTCTGAGGCTCTCCTGCTGGAAGCTGCGGCCTTATCAGCACCTGGCACTTTTCTTCACTCCCACCTTCCTTCTCCCAAGCTCTCCTGAATGCCTGAGACGCTTACCCTACTCTTCATGCAGCACCTCAAATCCACGCAGGCAAGGGGAATAAAAACCCCTGGTCAGGTGCCACAGACTGTCCCCTCCCCAGCAGCCCCTAGTCCCCTCAGCTGACATGAGCTGCTTTTTCACTGACCCATGCCTGGCCTCGTGGCTCCAGGCGCAGAGGAATGTTTTATAGTTTCCTCCATGGGATCAAAGCTCTGTGTCTTTCTCAGGGACTGCCTCTTTCAAAATAGTCTTTGGATTAAGAATAATGACTAAGAAATACATCTTTCCGAGAAAGATCACTGTTCAGCCTCTAGACATCTGAGAAAAACATCGCTAGTCTTTTAAGAGTAAATTTAGAGATTTCTAGGAACTCTCTCATCTTCATTTTTTTCTAAGGCTGGAAGTTGGCCAGAAATTTCTGGATATTAAACTTCAAGCCAGTGCAGTTGGCCAATGCCAGAGAAAATGGCACTGGGATGTCCTAACACTGTGTTTATAGAGCCTAATATCTGACCCCTGTTCCCTCCGTCTCCCACTCCCCACTGTTTTTTCCTATTAAACCAGGGAGTCATTTCTCATAATCATGGCTTTCTGGAATAATATCAAGAAATGACTGGATATGACCCAGAGCTCTGACTGTTCAGCCTTGCAAGTACCACGCTGAAAGTGACCAGCCCACACTAGCCAGGAGGCGCTGAGAGAGAGCAATGAGTGTTGAATAAATACCCCATGGCTCATCCCAAGGATGACAGACAATTCACCATACAGTATAACACTTCTAGATCAGCAGACACCTCACACATGCAGGATGTCCAGACATGCAGGTCGGGGGGCCATTCCTGGGAGATGGAGTGAGATGATGTTTCTTCCAGTCTCCACTCTCAGGAGCAGTGGAGGACACGAAACAGCAGCTCTCCCGCTCTCCCTGCTTCTAAGCATAGCATGCGGAACAGGGATGGTACCTTTGGGGTGGCTGGGAAGCTCCTTTCAGGGACAGGGGAGCTGGAGGGCTTCCCGCCGTGGTTCTTTGCCTCCCAGTCCTCCGTGGGATTGCCTGTGTCCCCAGCGCGGAAGGGGTGGCTGCCCAGTGCTTCTTCCAGCGCCGAGGGCAGTGGGCGGGTGGGAGTGAGGTCTTGGGTGGGGATGGATGGTGGGGGAGGGATGGGGATGGGTGGTGGGGTGCGCTGCACCCAGGGCGAGGACGAGGTGCTTACGTGGCCAGAGGAGGGCAGGACAGGGGGCGCAGGGACCTTGGGGGGTGGGTTGGAGGGTGGAGGGTGGGGCATCACAGGCAAGGCAGAGGGAGCCTTGGGGGGGTAGTAGAACATGTCCAGGGGGATGTCATCCAGGTCAGTGGTGTGCAGGTGCAGCCCGCCTGCGAAGCGTCTCAAGGGTGGGGCCAGGGGAGACACAGAAGGCGGGGGAGGCGGGGGCACCGTGGTCATCTGGGGGTTGCAAGGAAGCTCTGTAATCATTCACACTGATTAGCGCTCCACTTCACAATACAGCGACTACAATGTTCTTCTCATCTGTCTCTCTTGCTTTTGGAGACCCTCCACTCTCAGACCAGAACCATGAGGGTGCCACTTCTCTGCCACTTGGGTGCCCAGTTGAGTCCATACCAGGCGGCAGGGAGGGAGTGCCCCAAGGCAGGAGGGTCCCAAGTTATGCCATCCGTGGGTGGTAAGGTGCTCATATAGTTTATCCTCTGGGAACACACCTGAGGGGCACTCAGCCAGCACGCCAGGACAACAGCCCTCGCTATTGTTAGGGACTGTCTGAGACAAGCTCAGGAACTTAGTGATCACTCTGGAGATAAATCTCAGAAATACAGACTCGTCCTCCCTCCCCAAGAGAGGAAGGAGGAGTGGGTTTGTAGGGGTGGGCCCTGAACAGGGGCACAGGCACTGGTGTGGCCTATGATGCTTGCTAGGGGCCCTCCTGCCTCCCGCTGTCCCCAGGGCGGGTCACTTTCAAGGCAGCAGGTGGGTCAATGTGGAAAGAAGGACTCTGTTACCTCCGAAATCTCATTATCAGCAGAGGAAATCTGCTCAAGCCGCGTCTGACAGAGCCTCTCCACCCAGTACTGAATCTTTTCCGATTCCTCAAGGTCTTCCCGCTCCGTCTCAGACACCTGAGACCGGGCACGGGGGCAGAAAGGAGAGGGCAAAGGGCACACTTGAATAGCAGGACAGCAATAGCGCAGAGGCACTTCTTGAAAAACCCCAGGGTGCTGTTAGGTGTGTCAACTATCCAGAGAGAGACTGGGCTTGAGGGACAGGAGGGTTGGGGGCGTCAGGTTGACCTAATAGCACTTGCAGGCAGAATCAGAAGAGGGGCTACGTGTCCTGTGGGATTTACTGGACTCCAGATGCCCAGGAGCCCTAAGGCTCTGATGATTTTCCAAGAATGGTCCTTTCGTAGCCTCTCAGCGCATTCCAAGAGTTTCACTAGTCTTTTATTCCCCCTCCAGGCTGCCTTGTCCTCAGAAGCACGAGTTCAATTAGATTTTTAATTTTGTAGCTAATTTGTTCCTAAGGCCAGATCTAATGCACTTCATATTTTCCAGGACTCCTCTGGTTTTATAATCTAATCAGATTAGCATTCTGATTCATGGAAGCATTAAGGAAAAGCAGACACAATGATATCTCCTACAGCTAGGGAGTTAAGGTCACCCATCTCACCTAGGATAGGATTTACTTGTGCTCTAAGATAGCTCTTGACATGTCTTGAGGGGGACAGACTTAGATACATTCCCAGGTTGAGGAGGTCTAGCCTCAAAACAAACCCTATGTTGATGGGAGCAGCCTTAGACTCATAGCCCTATTAATTGGAGGATAGCCTTGGACCCACCCGCTGTACAAAGAGGCTAGCCTCAGACCCATAGTCTCAGAGCCAAGCTAGGTTGGGGAGACCTGGTCTTAGACTCATAGCCTGAATATGGAGGCCAGATCTGTAGACATGTGAGTGGAAGGCTAACTTCAGAGCTATAAACTAGGTGGAGGAGTTAGCCTCAGACTCATACCCTGAGCAGGGTAACCAGCCTCACAGCCACATCTCAGGTGGAGAGGTCTAGCTTTAGACTTATACTCTAGTGGAGTGGGGAGAAAGGGACAGATTCAAACTACTAGCCAGGTGTATCAAGGGCTAACCTGAGACCTATAATCTGGGCAGAGAGGCTAGCCTAAGACCAGTACCCCGAGTAAGGAAGCTGATCTCAATCCCAAACATGCATCTAAACCAGGAGCTAATCTCAGATGACCTTGGGGAGGTGGCACGATTTCATGCTCCAGACTGGGGAGCAGAGAAAGGCTCATCCCACCCTTGGACTCCATTTGGGGAGAACAACTCCAGCTGGCCCCCTGGGAGCTTGGTGGGGAAAAACCAAATTGTGTCCCAGGGATGCTCGCCTGGCCTGCAAGCAGGACGTACCTCCTGGGCCAGCCGGTTGATCTTTAGTTGCTTTTCCTTCTCCAGCATTTCCTCTTTTTCTTTGTAAAGCTTTTGCTCAAACTCCAGTTCCTTCTTATTCTTTCTCAACTCTTGCAGGCTGTCATACTTGGCTTTCTTCTTATCTTTTCCTTTCTGATTAGATGTGGTATTGTTTATATGACAAGATTACAAGGTGGTGTTAACACTAGCATGGCACAGCAAACAGGGCATGCAGTTCTCAGACAACACCGGGCAACTTACCCATGGTGAGCCCCTTCCCCAGCTCTGCCCTGCCACACTGGAAATCAGACCTCAGGTTTAGAATAGACAGGCCACTGCCATCCACTGCAAGCTGGAGATATACTCCCATTGTCAGCCAGAACTGGCTTGCTAGTTCACTGGCTGAGTGACCTTGGCTGAATTCCTCAGCCTCTCTGGGCCTGATTTGCCTCATCTCCAAAATGACGGAAATACCTGCCCTATAGGCTTGTCATCCAGTGCCAATGGAATACCATCTATGAAAGAGCTTTGTAAATTTCAAAATGCTTTATGAATAAAGTGCATTGTATTTATTTCTCAATATCTGGGTATATGGCTCAGACATCATCTCATGTTCAGATATCAGACATGCATCCTGGGAGATTCCAGAGAAAACCCGAGAGCTGGCAAGCCTCCTCTGCAGAGATTCTCTGTCCTGAGCTAAAGGAGGTGGTGGCAGACTCAGACCTGGGGTCTCAGAGCCAGGGACATCAGCTTTGCCCCTATGCTTAAGCTCTAGACTATTTCATTCTGGAGAGTTGAAACTCATAGTTCACTCTGAGCTGGGACGCTCCACTAAGAACTAGCTGGAAACTGTAGGACTGGGAGATGGGCAGTGGGCAGGATAGCCTAACTGCTTTATGCTGGCCATTAGGGTTTGAGGATCTGGGGAAGGAGATGGAGGACACATAGATTCCTTATTTTTCCTGTTGGAATTGGACCCACAGAGCCTGTTTTCCTAGCTGCTCCTCCTATGGGGCTGCAGGGGAGCCAGGGCTAAGGAACGAAGAGAATGGACATCTGCAGATTGCCCATGTGCCAAGGGACTTAAACTCATGATCTCCTACGTAGGTACTAGAGGTAAAGACCCTTGCCTGATGTCAGACATCTAGGAAAGGACAGTGCCAGGATTTAGACCTGAGTCTTCCAGGTGCCACAGTCTTTCTATTGTGCCCTGATGAGTGGGGGGCAAAAGGGACACGCAGGAGGGAGTGTCCGCCTCCATCGCACACAGCATGGGGGACGGAGCTAGCATTCAGGAGAGCGGGTGGCAGAGAGAGGCAACACTCTGGGCAATTTCTGGGGCAAGGAGGAAACTCCTTGCTCATTCAGCTCACCCTCAGCCCCGAAAACCCTTCCTGAAGCCTGCTCTTGAATTTCCTGAATCATCTCAGCATCCAAGGCCAGGAATAAGGAATTGAGTTCCCCAGTAATGGACACACAACGTTTATCTACAGCTGGAGGAGCTCGGTGGTCCTTATGGACCTCTGACAGACTCATCCTATCCCCCTCCTAAAGATAACCCACACCTCTGTGTACCTCTAATGTGCTTTGGAAATGGTCACCTCTGGGACTCACCTCCAGAGCAGTCTATGAACCTTTTGAGGACATGATTCTCATTGCTGCAGTCCTGCTCGGTCCCTTGCCTACTCTGTTCACTAGACTCTTAGCTCACTTGATAGATGAGTCCCTGCCATCTTAGTATAGATCAGACAGCAATTCCCCAAGAGGAGCCAGAAACATTCTGCCTAACAGCAGCATGTTAGAATAGGCACACGGCCTCCCCCAGGGGCCACCATGATAGGAATGGCCATTCTGTTGGTTTAAAAATATGATCAGCACTAAGATTTCAGAGCTAGGGCTCCATGGTGGGGCGGGCTGACAGTAGACAGTTTCTGTCTCATCCCCAAGGAAAGTTGCATCTGTTTACAGATACAGGAGGGCACTTTGTCATACAGCTTCGCCCACTAACATCATACTACCCTCCACACAGGTTACTGAGTTGTGTGTGAATCTGCCTCCCCTGCCAGATGGTGGGCTTCTGCAAGCAGGGCTGGTCTGCATTACTGGCTACAGCTGTGCAGGCGAAAGGGCTTAGTCAGAGCCATGAATTTTTCAGGCCCCAGCACAGACTTTGTGGGGCCATAGGCCTGGGGGCTTTGAGCCCCAAAGGGATCTGCTGCCAAAGTTGGAATAGGTGACATTGAATCTTTTTTTTTTTTTTCAGACAGAATCTCACTCTGTTGCCCCAGCTAGAGTACAGTACATCGTAGCTCACAGCAACCTCAAACTCCTGGGCTCAAGGGATCCTCCTGCCTCAGCCTCCTGAGTAGCTGGGACTACGGGTGAGTCATTATCTTTTTAAACAAGGGGAACTTGTGCATTGATAATCAAGGCCGTGTAAACCCACTTGTATCACCTGGGGACTTGGTGTTCCAGCTGCTGGGAGACAAAGCATCTTACAAGGCTCTAGAAAAAATGATGATGGATTTTCAGAGCTGCTATGAGGGACATGATTCTTTTGTCCTTTTAGCTGTCAGTTAAATGCATGGCAAATAGTCCTTTTGGTCCAGACTGAGAGGAGAGGCAGATGGGGTGGTTGTACTCTTGTTTCTGCCTAGAAGCAATTTCCTCTCTTTTGGAAATGAAAATGAAAACCAAAATGCCAGCTGTTTCTGGAAGGACTGAACTCAGGAACAGGGGAAAAGCAGCCCTACCTCTTTGCCAACAGCAATTTTCAAGAGCCGTGATTATGGTGGCGGGGGTGGGTACGTGCAGGAGAGTCTAGTTCTTTCACGTTTATATGGTTGTTAGTGCCTAGAAAAGATTTGACCTCTATGTCTCCTTTTATTATTATTTGTGTGTGTTTTCTTCTCTGAGTTCTAGTAGAGGCAGCATAGAGGCAAGGATTAGAAATCTACCCCAATGAGACATCCTAAGCCCTAGAGTCAGTCCTTTCTGAGACCATGGCAGTGTGGGAGAGGGTCCCCTGAGGAGCTCTGTTCTGGGTTTATTCAGTACTGTACAAACCATGATCTCTGTTCCTGGGTAAAGACATTTACTTCTGTCAGGAAAAATATTGCTGTCTGTTATTTTAAAAGGGACATGCTGGAGGGAGGGGGTGGATTTCCCAGCACATCTGACATGCCCAGTTTATAGGGAGGGAGAAGTTACATATCATCAAGATTGCCCAGCTGCCAGCGCTGTGGTTTCTGGGGGACAGACATCTTGCCAGAAAGAGTCAAGAGATAACATCTAATTTAGCACACCCAGATTTATGCCGATGCCTGACTTCCAAACATCAAGTCATCTCGAATGTCCAATTACAGATATTAACAGCAGTGTTTTCATAATCAAATGTCAATGTGATTTAGAAAAACAGAGGGTTTTACGAGGCCTGGAGATTCTGTAATAAGATTTAGAGAGAAAATCAAAGGGCATGGAGACTGGAAAAATGCATTATCCTGGGTGCATGCACAGATATTTCTAGGAGAGGGTTATGATTGGCATGGCTCTCTGTCCCAACCCCAGGCAGCATGTCCCCAGCCCAGGCAGCCAGTCTGTATCTGGCACAGTTGTTCTCATAACCTGGGTTATGAACATCCATCCTAACATCCTTTACTCTGATCCCATGCTTCCAGTCTAGACCTCTAGTTCTACTTGACATAGGAACAAAGCAGAAGCTTCCAGCTCCTTCCTTGTACCCATCAGTGCTGGTGCTGACGCATGCGGTGCCTGGTGGTACTTGGGCAGGGTTCACACCATGTATACCCTCCCCCCTGCAATGCCTCTGCAATGGCACCTGCTGTTTGACATTAGCCTGACACAGAGGTACAGCTGGGGTTAGCTCTCCAAGAGAACAGACCAGGTCACACCATTAGGAGTTGAATGGGAAAGAAATGTTTGGAAACAGCCAAAACCCACAGCAAACTAAGAAGCAAACCAGCACAGCACCCAGTGGTGTCCTACCTTCCGGATGGTTGGGAATTTGCCATCATAACGATAAAACCACCCAAAGGCTATAAGAACACAGAGAACAGAAGGATGACACACGGTTCAGCTGGGCCAGAGACCCACGGGCAGCAGCAGGGAGTTGGGCTCCAGAGGAACATGTGGCTTCGTGGGATGAAGAACAGCGTTGGCAGATTCAACAGCAAGACTGCACCCTCTGTCCGACTCGCCACTCACCTGGCCTACCCTGGGTTGCAAAGCAGGCCCAAGACCCTGAGCAAAGCCCCTATTCCCAGGCCCTGGGTCACTCTCAAATGTCTCTCCCCAGGACACTGGCTTCAGAAGTCAGTGCCAGAAATCAGAGAAAACCCCTTGTGGAAGGATGAGCTTTTCCAAATCACAGCCACAGTCTGCAAATACAAAGCTCTGTTGAAAGAGAACGAGGCCTCTCCAAACCGACGCCTGGTCCCTCCATCCAAGAAATGGCTCCAGACAAAAGACAGCCTGGGTCTCTGCCTGGAACTGTTGTCAGACAGAACAAAACTGTCTTGTCTCACAGTGCAGGCCAAGTCCTCCGCTTTCAATGTTGAAAGAGCTCTGGGAAGAACAGCTCCAACAACAGTGGGCAGGAGAGGTGCCCCAGAAAAGCACGTTTCAATCCAGGCCAGATAACCAGGGCACTGGCCCCCTTCCTTCCCCAGGCAACAGCTTGACAGACAAATACCCCAGATCTGAAGCTCCCTAGGACCAGGGGCAGTGGCTTTAATAACTGCCCACCCTTGACCAGCCTGAGTGCTGGAACAGGACACTGAGAATCTTCTGCTGGACCAGGCATTACCTCCTTAGTTGCTTGATCTGGGGGTAGCCCAGGGAGTCCTGGGGGAGAGGCCAGAGCAGCAGAGGGAGGACTATGGCTTGGGCAGTGTCTAAATAACTGAACCAGTGGGTCAGTGGTACTGGTGTGCACCAGCTGTTGACCAGCCTGGCCCTGGGGCCTGTCCTCAAGCTTTTGTATACAGTGCTTGGGCCAAACCAGGGTTTGGAAGAGCTCTGCAGGCTCCAGTGGTCCCCACAGAGCTGGGTGTCTGCATTGCTGTCAGGAGGAGGTGGGCAGAGCGAGCAGAGCAGCAAGGCCAGAGAGCGAAGCGGGGGCGCGAACCTGCTCTCCCTGCTCCTCCGGGCCTCCATCCAGGTCGTCTGCGGGCTCGAGCTTGGGCTCCACTCCCTGATCATCTACCCAGGGGAAAGAGGAGGAAGCAGTGAGAGAAGAGGGACTTAGGAAACTGAGAGGCCATAGGTGCCTCTCAGGAATTTGGGGACCTGTAGGCAGCTTTCTCCCGGGGAGCTGTGAAGTCAAGAACAGGAACAGGGCTCAGGAGCCCAGAGCAAAGGTTTCTCGCTCTGGGCTAGTGCACACTGTGTGTCCAACCTTGGTAGCTCACTTTCTCTATCTGCACAATAGGGGCCTCTGATCTGACGGCAGCATAAGACCCATTTTGCAGGGCATTGGGTTGCAGGTTAGGAGGTTTGGGGAAGAGGACAGGAATATCTGAATGCTGTACAGGTTTGAGGGCAAGGGCGTACAATGGGACCACAGATCCTCCGGCCCTCTATTCATCGCCCTTGTCTTGGAGCTCTGGTCCCCATGGGATGTCTGAGCAGTGCGGGCAGCATATGGAGGCTGGGTGTCCTGAGGAGGTGAGGAGATCCCCCAAACGCGGCCCATGTGGTTAGGAAGACATGCATTTTGACATAATGTGAAGAGCAGAGCAAACAGTTCATTCCATTGGTTTCCAACCTGGACTCTGACACCCCTGGGGCCCTGGAGGGAAGTGTACCAGTCTGCTTGTGGGCTGCTCTTGAATATTTCAAAAGCTTAAAAAACTTGCCCATCAGCCTATGAAAAGGCTATATGTTATGTTCTTTTGCTCTTGGCTCAAATTCCATATAATCAACAGTGGAACATCGATGCTCCTTCACTAACAAGGACTGCTTAGTAAAACAATGTGAGCACAAATGATTACTTAATAGTTTGGTAAGAAATACAGCCTCAGCTTCCAAATCATGGGGTCTACTCTGGTGGGGATTGGGGAGACAACAGATGGGGCCCTGGATGGGGAGAGAAGGTTGGATATCTCTTGCTTAAACCTCTTCATCTCTCAAGCACCCTTCCAGCTCTGGGCTCCTTCATAACGACCTCACCTCCACCACCACCACCTATTGCCTAAGCTAAGGAAAGATCTTTAGGGGCCTCTGTGGCAGAGTCCTGGCCTTCGGCTTGGGGTTCTGCTGGAGCAGCCACGGGGAGGTGGGAAGAAGCAACTGTAGGAGCCTCCTGGGGCGGGGAGTCAGTCCTGCACACATGATTGGGACGAGTGACTTCACTTTCCAGGTAAGAGATGCTCCGCACTCTTGCGGGGTCCACATCCTTGCAGGCAGAGACCGGCTTAGGTATAACCTGTGGCTAACCGGGGCCTGGAGTTGAAGGGTGCTCAGGGAGGAGCAGGCTGGGGCCCAGGCTTACTGGCCCAATGTAGCTGAGAACATTCCAGCCTCAGGGATCAGGATGAGAGGCAGGAATTGACCTGGCTCAGGGAGTTCACCGCATTTCGATCCAAATGAGAATTAAATTGCTGGTGCACATGGAGATGGATGGAGGCACACCTGCCCCAGCTCAGCCGGCAGACAGGGCTATCAATCCGTGCTGTGTGCCGCCGCCTTACAATACTTTCATCCTGAACAAAGGCAAAATTCTTGCTCTTTTTATTCAAGAAGCTTGATCTGGTTAAAAAGCATTAAATAAATAGCTAGCTAGTGAAAGCGTTTTTATTTTTTATAGTTCCTTAGAGGGTGTGTTTGCTGAGAAGCCAAGGCCCAGTTTCTAGCAAGGTACTAAATAGACTAGGATTACTTTCATGAGAAGCAATTAAAATCGATTTCTCTCCTTCTGAAGCTCCTATTTCACTAATAAAAGCAAATTAGCTGCCCTCTTAAAACACGGATTATTCACCCGGAATTCAGCTCTGGCCACATCCTCAACTAATACCGAGTGTCATGGGGGAGGCTGATGAGAGTGCGCTTTGTCCTTCCAAGAGGACGGGGAGATGACTCTGTGCCCAGCTGCCAGGAAGGAATGTGCTGGAGCTGTTTGCCCCGCACCAGGGAGGGGTGAAATGGAACCATCCGGATGCCCCACACCTCTTCCTTGGTCCAAGTGGCCTGTGTTGGCAAGCTGGCAGCCCTTAGGGCTCGAGTATGGTCAAATGTTGGGGACAGAGCAGTCCAGACGCCATCACAGCATCCCAATGGCCACCACACAGCAGATATGGGGAACCTTGGTTCTTGAGTCCAGATTCACCCCTTGACCCCATTCTGGAGGTGCACAGGTCAGTGAGCACAATCGGCTGGAGTAGAACCTGTCTTATGTCACTTTAAATCAAAACAGCTGTAAAGCAGGGTGAGGACCCAGCCAGGACTCCTGGACTTGTGGTTGCCCCTGGAGCCCACCACCAGCCCCCGAAGAAAGACTGAGACTGAGCCACCTGTTGTCCCCTGGCAGTGCGGGCTGCCTCTTGAAGAGACACCTGGAAGTTGGGGTTCAGAAGGTGGACGGGGAGTGGCTGGGGGACCTGCACTGACACTGGAGGTGACGATGCAGGACAGATGGACACAGGAGATGGTAAGGGCAGTGGGAGCTGAGGCCCCAGGGCGGTGCAGCCACCAGGCCACAGCTGGGTGTCTGAGAGGGGTCTCCCTGTCCTGTCCCTGCCTCCATCCTGGCAGTGGCATGACGTGGTCCCCGCACAGGGATGCAGGTTCTGGGGGCACTCTGGGTAAGTTCCTCCCACAGCTGCCTGTCAACCTGGGACCACCACAGCCCTTCTGACGTGAGCTCCTTCCTCTCTTTCTTGCTGCTGGCTTCACCCCAGCCCCAGTTCAGAACCAAGCAGGAAGAGGACACGGTACCCCCAAAACTAAGATAGTAATCCCATGAGCTAGTTTCGCCTTTGCCACAGCCCTTACTGCCTCTTCAGCCTGCCCGGGTCTGGGGGAGCTGGGAGCTGGGTGTGCGGAGCAGGGCCCGGACAAGGAGGGCAGGCAGGCCCCTCCCACCCCATGCCCTGGCAGATGCCCCCTGACACGTAGCTGCCCCTCCAAGAAGGAACCGCAGCCCAGATCTCCATGCGCTCTTCCCCTGGGGAGCGGGTGGTGAGCAGGAGACCAGATTATCCGTCTGCCCCTGAAGCCCCCGCCCCGGCCCACGATACCTACACTTTGGCTTGCGAAGGGGTACTGGGTGCACCTCCGTGGTGATGGTTTGAGGCGAGAGCAGCTGATCCTTTGAGCCCCAGTCTTCTTCCCACTGTTTCTTAAACTTTTCTTCCTCCTCCGTAATCCTGAAATGAGAACCCACCACGCCTGTGATTCGAGTCAGAACCATCCCAGGCCCACCTCCTGCCTCTCAGAGAACCCAAACCAGCATGTGGAGAAGCCTCATGGTTCTAGCACTGGTGCGTGAAACAAAGTCCCTGGAGTCTGTATTCTAAATTGAGTGAACACCTGCTTGGGCAATTATGTAAGACTATGTTTTAGTAAGTTACTCTAGTATAATGGGCTTTACTAGACTATGGACTGGCTGCACATAAAGGAGGATCCACCAGGGGAGAGGGCTAGGTAAACTGGTTCTGGAGGTGGCCTCTGGCTGGCTGCACACAGACACACACACGTGTGCAGACATACGTGGAGCCCAGGCACTCACTGTTCCATCTCCTTCCGGTATCTCTCATTTTCCTCCGCTGCCTTCTGGGCAATTTCCTTTCTCCTTCTGAAACACAAACGCACGTTGGCCTGTTTGGGTCTATGGAAGAGAAGTTAACTCTTGTGGCTGATTCCTGATTTGAGAAAAGCTTTAAATGTTGTTTTCCGGGCTCCCTTCCAGGCATCCTTGGAATGCTCTGGGGTTTGAGGAAGTTGTCCAACACAGTCTGGGCCCCGTGCTCTCATGTGGTTTTGTCCGGCATGGCTGAGCAGAGATTTTGTATTTTGGGAGCTGAGAGGCAGGTCCACCTCCAAACAGATAATGTGACTGACAAGAGGCAGGGCCGAGACTGAGTGACACCCTCCCAGAGGAGGGCCCCAGACCCCAGGAGCAAAGCAGGGGCTGCCAAGCAGGTGTGATTCTCCAGGCTAGTTCTGTGGTATGGGAGATGGGGATAACCTCTCCTTCCTTTTCCAAGTACATATTAAGTGCCTGGAATGCACGTGGACTTGGATTTTGACAGTACTTCTCTATTTATGAATTGCCCTCCCCACTTATTCTCTCAGGCCCCCATTCATCCTCCTGTCCTCCCAGGGGGTGAGGTGGGCCTTATCACCACAGGAGGGGTGGCCCTGTGGGGACTGCCAGGCCCTTTAGCCAGATTGCCAGGGTGTGAATCCCAGTTTGGCCGTGTGTGACTTTGGACACAAATGGCTTAACCTCTCTCTCTGAGTCTCAGTCTCCTCACCTGTAAAATGGGGTTAATAACATCTACCTCCTGGTGCTAATGTGGGAATTAAATTAAGAAACATAAACAAGGCCCCAGTACAACACCAGCAACTTGGCAGGTACTTGACAAATATCTAAAGACTCTGATGGCGCCCTGGGAGGGCCTCGAGCTCACCCTGGCGCCCTTCTACCCCTAACTAGCTTTTAAAAAATGTTGTTATTTTTAACAACTTTCTAGCTGCTGCTAGTAAGATCCTCGTTTTTGACTTATTATCATTATTTTTTTTTGAGACAGCGCCTCACTCTGTTGCCCGGGCCAGAGTGCCGTGGCATCAGCCTAGCTCACAGCAACCTCAAACTCCTGGGCTCGAGCGATCCTCCTGCCTCAGCCTCCTGGCTAGCTGGGACTACAGGCGTGCACCACCATGCCCGGCTAGATCCTCATTTTTTATATTCTTGGAGTCTTAGAGTCAGGGGGCTCTTCTCAGCACGCAGCGTGGGGCCGGTGGTCCAAGGCAGAGGACGCATGAGCTGCCCTACGACTGCACCCTCAGATCTGAGCACAGGTCGCGGGGGAAGAGGATGAGGTGGGCCCTGGGCACCGTGGGCGGGGACAGGATGGGGCGGGGCAGGGCGGCCACACTCACTGCCGCTCCATCTCCTGCTGCTCCTGGAGGATCTTGTTGGACTCCATCGCCAGCCGCTTCTGCATCAGGAGCTCTTGCCGCTGCAGCTCCCGCTGCCGCGCCTCCGCCAGCCGCTCCCGGTCTGTCATGAACAGCTCCCGGCCCTCGTGGGGAGAAAAGAGGCCCCTTGCTCAGCCCCCTGGGGAACCTGGGCGTCCACTGTCACAGCCCCAGTGGCCAAGATGCAGGGTGTCTTCCCAACACCGTTAGGTACTGTGGCGTTTGTGGTCTCTGACCCAAACTTCTCTTTGCTGGACAGAGTTCTTTGCCTCTGCTCTGTCAGAGCTTCAGGGAAGGAGACACCTTGGCCCCTTCTGGGAGTGTGTGGCAGAGATTAGGGGTCAGAGGGGCTGGGGCTGAAGGTCAGGGGTCACGGGCCCTGCCAGCTCATTCTGGACTTACAGCTCCTGCTACGACGGAGATGGTCAGGCTGCGGCTACTCTTCAGCACGTTCACAGCCTGTGGGGACAAGAGGACAATCAGCTGAGGCCTGAGAGACCACAGGAGTCCAGGCAGAGGGCACCGAGGGGCTCAGCCACTGTGGCAGTCAGGGTGGGAAGTGGGGTAGGGCAATGATATGGGCTGGCAGGTGAAGACCCTCCACATCTCACCTCCTTGTGGTCCATGTTGGAGAAGTCGATGCCATTGACTTCGACAATCTGATCCCCTGTCTGGTGGAGAAATAAAGGATTAGCGTGTTTACACTATCCCTATACTGCAAGGGCTGTCCCAAAGGCCAGCGTCGGACACTGGGTCTTCTAGTGGCTGCACCTCCACTCTTCCTGGTGAGCAGCGCAGTTGGAAAACTCTGATGGCGCCCTGGGAGGGCCTCGAGCTCACCCTGACGCCCTTCTACCCCTAACTAACTTTTAAAAAATGTTGTTATTTTTAATTATTATAGGTAGCTAATAATTGTATATATTTATAGGGTACGTGTGATGTGTTGATAGAGGCATATGAGGTGAATTAATCAAACCAGTGTAATCGGGGTAGCCAACCCCTCAGGCATTTATCATTTCTTTGTGTTAGGAACATTCCAATTCCACTCTTGCAGTTATTTTAAAGTATACCCTAAGCCATAACTGTCTCATCAGTGACCAAATATTACTCTATTAGAGGTTCATTTCTCTGGCTAAATTGACGACATTTGCTTTGGAAATCTCAATTTGTAGACACAAGAGCCTTTGGGCTTCTCATCTAGCAGAGTCGGTGTTGCATCATCACAATAACAGAATAGCTAACATTCATCGATCACCGTGCCTGGCACAGTTCTGGCATATGTGTTAATTCATTTAATCCACACAACAACCCTCGCAGGAAGGCGCCATTATCTCCATTTTACAGGCGAGGAAACTGAATCACAGGGACATGAAGTAACTTGTCCAAAGAAGAGGTTAAGAGTTCCTGCTCGGGCATTGGACTACCTAGGTTTGAATCTCAGCCCTGCTATACTAGGTACCTGATCTTGGAAAAATCCATACTTTCTCTGGGTCTCAGTTTCCTCATTTGTAAAATGGTGATACTGAGAGTCCCTCATCCTCAGAGTTCTCCTGCAGTGCGAAGGGCACAGAGCAACATCCAATGCAAGTAAACATTCACTGAACGTCAACTCTTTGATCACTACTGCAACATTCCCAAGCTCAGGACCAGTGACTTTCGGAGACGGAGAGGACTGCAGAGGGTCACACGTCCGCCTCTGTGAGTTCTTCCTGCAGTCTCCTCACCCAGCGACCGCCCAGAGCAGGCTGTGTGGGAGGCACGCTATGCCTCCGTCGCTGGGGATTGGTATGACCCCGCGCCCTGGGGCCGGCCCAGGTCACTCACCTCCAGCCCCACCTCGGCAGACAGGGAGCCAGGCTTCACGTGGCTGATGAAGATGCCGGGTTTCTGGATGGGGCCACTGGAGATGCTGCGGGAGATGGGAGATTTGTGCGGCCCTGTCCTGCTGCTCGTCCCCTGCAGCACTTGCTCATTCTCACTGTCCTGCCCCCTCCGCCCGGGTGCCCAGTGCTCAGGATGCAGGTCACTCACGAGCTCAGGACCCAAGGCCCTCCACTGTCTACCTCTTCGGGCTCTGTCTACCCATCCTGCCTGATTTCCACTGTGACCCTAGGTGACAGCCACAGAAGACTTGTAATTTCCCCTACCCAGCCCTTCATCTAATATGCTGCATATGCTGTTTCTTCTTTCTTTCTAGCACTTTCCTGTTTATTCGTTGAGTCTCAAATGTTATCTGCTCTATAAGGTTTTTGCAAGACCCCTTATTTTATCCCAAACTAAGCCATTTGCTCCATTCTCGGTGTCCTATGACAGCTATGGCAAGGTTGGCACTTGTACTGTCATTCTCCCTTCCTAGATCTGTGGCTGACACCACATCCGTCACAGCACTCCTTCCCACCCAGCCTGGAGACAGCAGCCTTGGCCTCTACTAATGGATTAGAGCAGACAGGAAACATATTTGCCATCGCTGACTGAGAATGTAACTCCTTTAGAATCCTTATCACCCTTTAACTATTTACATGGTTGACTTCTGTATTAGGCTGTCACCTCCTAGGGAGACTTTTTATCACTTATGCTTGGCACAAAAGCACTGAATACATGTGAAGGAAAGGAAATAAGAATAACAAATAATAATAGCTTAAATAATATTTACCAACTGCTTACTACCTACCAGGCACTAAGCTTGGTACTTTACTTTCTCCACAACTACCCTGTGATGTGGGAATTATCATCTCCAATTTATAAAGGGAGAACCTGAGGCTCAGAGTGGTTAAATGACTGGTCTAAGGTTCTAGAGCTCCTAAGTAGGGAAACAGGGCTGGAACCGAGATCTGAGTGCCTGCAGCACCTACGTGTTTAATAGGAATGCCAGGTGTGGCCCAACGCCTGTTTGGAATTCCCTGACTGCCGCTTAAGGAAGCCCACAAGCTAGTAAGTGACAAGGGAACTGTGACAGATGACCAGGCAAACAGGATCCTTTTGCAGTGACTCAACCACCCACCAAAGGAACACGGTGCTGCCTCTGGGCCTAAATTTCCTCATCTGTAAAACGGGACCTGTTAGAGCTGCCCCTCTGGCCCGCAAGGCTGCTGTGAAGCTCAGAGGGGAACTCAGGCACCAAGAAGTGTCCTCACCAGTGGACAAGTCACATCCTGGTGGGCCAGTGTCTGCTCAGAAGCAGCAGCGAGGAAAGGGAGAGGTGTAGGGCCTACCGGGGTCCACTGGCCATGAGTGAGCCCGAGCATGCCTGCCACCCACCTGCAGCCAAGGCCCCGGGAGCCCACCAGGCTGATGAAGACCTTCTTCTCCTTGTCCCGATTCCCGGGGGAGCCCAGGCCGCCCCGCCCGCCCTGCAGGAGGGATAGAAGCAGGTCACCAGGTGTTCACATGTATGCAACGGCCTCTTGAGCTTGTGAGGTCTTCAGAGTAAATGTTGCCACATTCACATGGACAGGATCGTCATCCTGTCCCTGGGGGTGTGTCTGCACCAGCCCGGCCTGGCTGGGGACCCACTGCCACACGGGGCACGCTGGATGCCCTGGGGGCCCACGTGAAGCCCCTGAGGCACATCCCCAGAGCAAGCCCTTCCTTCAGGACTGCCCGACCCTCCTCAAAGACCACCCCGTCCAAACTCCATCACAGGTGGTGTGGCCCTTACCCCAGATTCTGACACAAACTGATCCACATACTGCCACTTGAGGGCCTCGTCGGGAGAGCTGGTGGCAAGGAAACATAGAAGGGCGGTTGTTAGCAGGAGATGTTTGAGGGGCCAGGTCCGAAGTCCAGATCTGCCACATCTGGAGCCTCAGCCCCCACTGGCCCAGGAGCAGAGTGGCATGGTGGGGCCAGCCGCCAGGGCTGCTACCAGGACCCTGCACCCATGGGAAGCGTCTGCCTTCGAGGAGGGGCCTGCTCACCTCTTCACAGGGATCAGGCCGATGTCTGCAGGGGGGAAAAAGCACAGGGGTTAGCACGGCTCCTCTGCCCTCCTTCCTTCCTTCCTTGGAGCTGGGGACCCTGCTGCCTCCCTTGCCACCAGCACTGAGCCCCACCCACTCTGGCCTCACTCACGTCTCACTTTGATGGACACAGTCTTCTTGGTTCGGATGAGGTTGATGACCTCCTCATGGGTGCAGGAGGAGATGGAATACCCGTTGATCCGGACGATCTCATCCCCTACCTTGGCCCAAGAGGGAAGAAGCAGCAGGTTAGGGGGGCGGGGCGTCAGGCAGCTGGGCAGGCTCACCACCGGCTGCTCCCACCGGTCTCCAGAAAAGGGAACCACAGCCATGCTGTCCCCCAGACTCAATCTCTAAATGTGCCCTAGTACCTTGTCACAACCAACCCACCTTGCATCAGCCAGAGGGACCCTGGGACAGGTGGCATGTCCAAGCAGCCTTTCTGGCCCATTTTACAGATGGAGAAACCAGGATGCAGGGTAGGGGCACAGCACGTGGGTGATAGAGCTAGGAGTAAAACTCAGGACTTTGTACCCTCGCTCTGGTGCCCCTTCCACCCCTGTGGGTCTCCACCAGGTTCTGGAATCCACGTGAAGGGTGACCCTTCACCCAGCTTTAAGCAGCTCTTGCCTGGACTTTGTCCTGCCCGCCCCTAAGAAGCAGGTTCACACATCTCTGTTAGTCACTAGACACTGTGACTGAGGGGGGACCTTCCGTGACTCCTGACCCAAGCGCCCATCACCGGCACACACACATGATCTCTGTTTTTCCACTGACGGAAACTTGATGAATGTTTTAACTCTGCCATGGCCCTGACCTCTGAATGCCTATTCTGGGAGCAAGCAAAGAACAGTACACGAGCACAGGGCTCTGGCATCAGATGTCCTGGGTTCAAGTCTCTTTTATTTTTATTAGCTATGTGACCTTGGGCAAGTCTCCTGAACTCTCTGAACCCCAGTTTTCCTTATCTGTAAAATGGGGAATACTGTGGTTGCTGCAAGAATAAAGCGAGCTTGTGCATGCAGAGCCAGCCTGGCACATAGTAAGTGCTCTGTAAATGGGCTGCTATCGTTACCACTAGTTGGGCTGGGGCTCTGAATACTGTGTTCACATCCCTCTTCTCCAGGCTTAGACCACAGCAGATTGGTAGATGGGGACTCGGGGGGCCCTGGATGCAGATCCATGGTGAGACTGCCCCCCCCCCCCGCCTCCTGCTGGAGACTGCTGCTGGCTCCCCCATGCACCTGGGCCCTGGGGATCAATTCTGAAGCTCCTCAGTTAATAATCATGGGGCTGGAGGGACCCTCAGTCACCAGCTGGAACAGAGGCCCAAGGAAGTGATGTTTTGTCCAAGGTCATACAGCCAGTAGCTGCAAAACAGGGATTGGTCCCGGATGCCCCTCCCTTGCCTGAGGCCAGGGCAGGTCTGCTGGGGGCTTACCTCCACCCACATGTGCTGACCCTGTGCTGACATGCTAGAACATACAGGGGACACAAGCTGGACTCCCTGTGGGCCTGGGCAGGTAGGGGCTGGGCACACAGCCTCTGAAGGGTCCTCCAGGGCAACTCCCATCCTCTACAACTGCAGTCCCCAATCCCCCAGGCTGCAGACTGGTACCAGTCTGTTACCTGCTAGGAACTGGGGTACACAGCAGGAGGTGAGCAGCAGGCGAGCGGGCAAAGCTTCATGAGTATTTACAGCTGCTGCATCACTTGTATCACCACTTGACCTTCACTTCTTCCCCCTGACCTCCCCAGGTCTGTGGAAAATTGTCTTCCACAAAACCAGTCCCTGATGCCAAAAAGGTTGGGGACCACTGTTCTACAACACTCCCACAGAGTCACCTTCTCACTACTGCCAGGAACACTTCCCTCCCACTCCTGGACACAGATCTCAATCTTCTTGGGGACCTCACAGGAGTGGCGAGGAGCTCAAAAAGGCACAATGGGGATGATTGCAAAAGATTTCTAGGGACATCTAACTGAAGGAGAGAAGCTGAACTGGCTCCTTGCACCTATTTTTTTACAACAACCCTGCAGGGTAGGAATTTGTGTCTGTGTTAATCAGATGAGGAAACTGAGGCTCAGAGAGGTGAAGCACCTTGCTCAAGGTCACCCAGATAGTGAACAGTGTTGCTGCTGGGATTTGAAGTCAGGTATCCCTGACAGACAAGTGCTGTCTCTTGGGTGTCTGGAAGCACAAGAGAAGGGCGCCTGGCCAAGCCTGGCTGCCATTCCCTGCATCCTGCCCTCCCGGATCCTTGCCACCTGTCGGAGCCCACAAGTCCCAAACGAAGGCAAGGATTACTCTGTCCATTTTATAGCTGGGACAACCAAGGCACAGAGAGTAATTTTCTAGCCCTAGAATACACAGCGAGTTGTATAGCACAGCTGCCCTGCTCAGGGCAGAGGACATAGGTTAAGGCAGGACATTCTTTAAAAAAAAACAACTCAAGTATCTCTAGCAGGGGGACAAGAGGGGACAGATGGACGCCCAGGACTAGGTCCCACTTGAGGGTCCAATAGCCTCACAGGGCAAATCTGCACAGGGTCGTCAGCCCAGCCAGGCTGCATCTGAAGCTGCCCCTCCCCTGCCTTCTAGAATCTTCTCCCAGCTGCTCTCAAATATGAGCTCTCCCCAGAAACGCACACCCCAGACAGGTCAATGGATGCAGCCATTTTCCCCCAAGCTCCTCTGGGGAAAGTTGTCTGTCTTGTTCCTAAAGGGAGCTTGCCCACAACCCCGGTGAGAACGAGTCCCACAGGGTCCCTGGCTCAGGTTGCAGGATCGACTTTCCTCTCCCTCTCGCCCTGCGTGGAGCCCTGCAAAAGGCCTTTTGTGCCGGGGCCACGGTGATATGACGATCTGAGGGACAGCGGCACAAAGGAGAGATGAACCCGGCAGCCAGAGAAAGGGTGGATAACCCAGAAGCCTGAGAAACAGCCGGGAAGGTAAAACTCTAAGTTCCATCGAAAGGCCCTGATGCTCCCGGCCACGGAGGCCCCACTGAGAGACGTTTGTCCTGAGAGGAGAGCTCGCCCTGGAAAAGAGAGGCCTTGGCTGGCGCCAAGAGAGGAGCTCATTATGTTTCTCCTCTGGCTGCATTTCTGGGCTGGAAAATGTGCTGCAGAGGAAAGGAATAATGAAGGGGCTGAAATTTCAGCCGCCACCGGCGAGCCGTGAGACAGGGATTTAGAACAAAGCGACGTCTGTCAGCTCCCTGTTTCCACCCCCACTCCATGGTGTCTTGTACCATTAGCCCTCGAGCCCCCTGAAGCCCCCGGCTTGGCAGCCGGATTGGGATGTTGATAACAAGCACGCTGGAAGCTCTGGGGTGCGGTGTGAGGGCCTCCTTTATCTGCTCATCCAAAAACACAGCTCTGGGCTCGGGTAGGAGTGAGACTTGGAGGTCTGCCCATCTCTGCCCAGGCACTGAGGTGTGAGGACCCCAAGTGGGGCACTGAGGAGAGATTTCTGGGCTTGGCTGTCAGGGGACCCAGGTTCTAATCCCAGCTCTGCCACTTACTGGCCTGCCAGCCGCTATTAACTCTGTAAACTGGGGATGACGCAGTCAACGCACATAACGAGGACTGGCTGTGAGCATGTGACCTGGCCCGTTACAGGGGTTTCTTAAATCCCCCTCTCTCTGTTTACTCTGGAAAAATCACAGCATTTATGTGCCAGGCACTGTTATGAGCACTTTCTAATATTCACTCATTTAATGCTCATACAACCTGAAGAGGGAGATAGCATTATCATCCTTCCATTTTATAGATGAGGAAACTGAGGCTCAGGGTTAAGTCATGTCATCCAAGTCACACAGCTTGATGAATTAGCAAAGCCAGGATTTGAACCTGGGTCATCCAACTTGAGAGTCTATGCTCTGACACATCACATTGCCCTGGGCTTTCTTTTTCCCTGCTGGGAAAAGGTGACATATCCAAAACTCAAGCGTCTGGACACGACTATGTCCCTCTCTTGGGAAGTAGGGAGGTGGGGTGAAGCGCAGCAGCAGCAGCAGCAGCAGCTGGGAGGAGGCAGTGGCCAGGTTCCCAGCTGGACTCCAGAAAACAGGCAATTGCCTGTGGCCTGATTCCTACGAGCCTACGAACAGCTGTCGGTATGCGTCAGCCTTGTCCTCCCCTGAAGGCTCGGAAAAGTGAGTGACCACATTGCACCCCCCAGCCGAGTGGGTGAGAGATGAGGGAGGCAGGAAGCCTGAGGTCCTGGCCCCCCACCCCGGACTCTCCTGCTCACCTGGAGCCCGACGCTGTCTGCCTGACCGCCTTTGATGAGGTGGGAGATGAAGAGCCCACAGCCGAACTCGAGGCCGCCGCGCACACTGAGGCCGAGGCCTTCGGGGTGCAGACGGTCCAGGCGCACCTCCTTCAGCTTCCTGCCACGGCGGGAGAGGTCGCTGACAGTCCAGCCTGACCGCCAGTGCTGCCCCTCCCACTAGCGAGGGACTCTGTCCCTCCCAGGGCCACCTCTCCCACCCCCTGCCTCGGGCCTGGGGGCTCGGCCTGCACCTGGAGCGCCGGGGGGTCAGCTGGTCGTATTCCACCTGGTGCTTCAGCGGGATCAGGGGCCGGATGGCGTCAAACAGAGGCAGGCGGCTGGGCTCGTTGATGACCAGCTTCAGGTCTCCCACGAGCACGGCCACGTCCATGGTCCTGCAGAGATGTGGGGGGTGCCTGGGACCTCACCCCTGGCCATGACCTCTGGGACCCAGGCATTTCCAGAGGAAGCAGTCCCAGCCTAGGTCCCCCACCCACTGGACCCAGGCCTAGGAATTGAGGAGAACACTCCTGAAAAGCTCAGAGCCCCTAACTCTGGCCAGGGGCCTCAGACAGCTTTGTTCTCTCATATAAATATCACGAGGAACCAGCAAGTGGGGGACTGTTAACCGATTTTGCAGATGAAATCAAGCCAGGACTTCAAACTCAGCACTGCCTGTTCTCAAGTCCAGGGTCTTTCCAGACAGGAAACCTCTGTGTGAGGTGTCGACAGCCCTTCCCACACTCTTATCTCCACTCCGACCTGCCGCTGAGCCCTGTAAATTCTACCCTCGCAGTACCTCTCACATGCTTCCTCCTTCACACTGTCCAGCCCTTGGCCATCTCCAGCCATCTGCTGATTTGCTCATCTCATCTAATCTTTTCTAAATGTAAGTCACTCCCCTGCTTATAAGCCTTCGATGGCTCCCTTCTACCCAGAGGACAAAATCCACTCTTGGCAGGCTCAGGGCCCTCCATGCCTTGTCTCCATGGAACTTCTCCAGCCTGTGGCCATTTATGATCCCTGTGTACTGTATATCCCAAGTCCTACTCCCCCAGGCTGTGCATCATTCCCCCTCCATGCCCTGTGCTTTCACGCCTCCATACTTTTGCTGCTACAAATCCCTCATCCTGGAACACCCTTCCCTGATATTCTGCCTATCAAAATTCTACTTGTCCTTCAAAGCCTAGCCCAGGCCTTGCTGGTCCTCTTCTCACACCCCTGAGGTTATAAGTGAAAACTCCTTTCTTCACATTTCTGCGGTTAGCTCTACTTAGCAGTTATTATCTTTGTGTTTGAGGTTTCTGTCCATCTCCCCATACCAGGCCATGAGTTACTGAGGGAAAGAAAGTGGATCTTACTCATTCCAGGTCCTGCAGGGTGCCCAGCATAAATGCACACAGAATGCATCAAAGGCAAGTGGGTGATCAGAGACATCTGCTGTAGGGGCTGGGGCCAGCTGGCATTTCTTGTTCTGTCCCAACAATCACGCTTGATGGAACCTGTCTGGCTACTTGACAGCCTCCCCCATCGGACTGTGAGCAACCCGAAGGCAGAGACCAGGCCGTCTTGCTCACGAGTATACTTTTAACCCCTAGCACAGGGCCAAGGACAAAGTATTTGTGTAAATATTAATATTTGCCACAGTGAGTGAATGGCGTGACCGTTTGATTCCCAGGAGCATTGAGTATCTGCCTGCTGAGCTCCTTTTCCTCTGTCTCAGAGCAACCCCAGGGCTCCCTGAAGACAGGTACGCGAGTGCCCCACGGGAGCCAGAGCCGGCACACTTACTGGTGGTACATCCGCAGCACGTCATAGAGATAGTCCTTCTCTGCGTCATTTTCAATCAGAAAATCCACCTGGAAAATCCGAAGGCAGAATTACAGCTCCAAGCCCTGCACCCCATCGCAGACCCCAGGAGGAGAAGCCATCCCCGGGGACCTCCCCAGCATCTCTGTAGGACTGGGGTCGTGAGGAGAGGAAGGAAGCCACAGGCCATGCTGCCCCTCTGATCCCAGTATATCAGACCCATGCAGACCACCCCAGTGAGGCCACAGAAATTTAGCTACAAATCCAGATGTGGCCAGGCTGAGTCTCGTCTCCACGTGGGGTGATCCGTGTATATGCACAGGGATGCACACACGTACGCACACATGTGAACCCCTGTGTGACAGTGAGACACCACCACGGTGCTGCTGCTCACCCCTGGGGCTATGTTACCCATGTCCAGAAGAAGCCCATTGTCTTACCTGATGGTGGCTGTAGTGCCGGATAAACGCTTTCAGAAAGGATTTGGGCCACTCACTCAGATAACACATCCCACCCCCCAGAAGCCCCCAAACACCAAATTCTTCTGTGACACCAATGCCAAGGGAACTCCACCCAGTCCTGTCCTGGCCTAAGCTGGGCTGGCCCTGAGTTCTGTCCACTAGTCAGCCTCCTGGCCACTCCTTCCCCCTCCCCAGGTCCCTGCACGCCCCCCCAGGAGGAGAGTCAGGTTTCATCATTTCAACTTTGTTGACGTCAATGGCTGGGACTCCAAGGTTGGGTTCAGGAGCTGTTTCATTAGCACCTCAGTCCCAGGAGAGCCCTGAATTCCTCTCCCTGGGATGCTCAGTGTGAATCTCCACGCACTGCATCCTTGGCTGTCTCTTCAGCTCAGGACTGGGTAACAGGGCAACGTGGAAGCTTGAGGGATCACTGGGACCGTCTCTCCTGCAGCCTCCAGGCCCAGCAGCATGGCTCAGGGCCTCAGCCCTTCACAGAGAGAAACCGCTGCTAGAAGCTGTAAGCTCCCCCGTGACTGGTCCTCAGAGAGGGGCCAGAACAGCCTTATCTCTTTCTACGATATTGCAAGGGTTCTGAAAGACTGAGGCAGTCTGTCTGTCCCAACACAGAGAGGATATGCTGAGCCCAGGCCTTGGGATTTCTAGCCCAAGTGGGGGCATAGAATGCAGATTTCTGGCCTTGATCTGGCAGTACCCCTGCCCTCTGAATCAGGCTGAGTACTTCATTGAAGGTGAGAATGACGCAGGAGGCTTGACTCACAGCTTGGGTTTCAGCTGCTGTGGAAGTTCATCCCACCTGCTCCAATGAGGGCACCCCTGCTTTCTCCCTACCTCACTGCAAGGGGCTCCCAGCCAGCCAGAAGATGGGGAGAGGAGGCGGTGGAAACATTGCTCAAGTGGGCAGAACATTTTGCTTTTAAGTTCTTTCTTATCTCTAATCCCCATCTCTGTCCTTTGTGCTGTTAAGAAAACCCTTTTGGCTTGGTTCATAAGGAGCAAGAAAACAGAACACCTTTTGAATGACTCTTTGAGCCCAAATGTTCTGCTTTCTAAGAGGAGCATAAAAATTCCATGTGCTTTGGCTGGACTGAGGACACCCCTGGGCCAAGGGCTTCTAGACTAATTTTAGCAAATGTGGTGACACGGGCGGGAATGTCTCAGTGGGTGAGGCCTCAGGACTAAAGTCCTCTCCCATCCCTCTTTGCAAAACTGCATCCTGCTGCACCATTAGGTTTAGGTAGAGAGGGACTGCCCTCTGTAAAGCACGTTTATTGTGTGCTAGGTAGAAAGTTGGAGTAGAAGACTAAGGACATTTATAAGGGTCTAGGATTCTGTTCTGCTTTCCCTGGGCCTGCTTTCCCTTCCAGGTGGAGATGGTCTTGGTGGGAAAGAGCCTGTTCTGTGGGTTCCCAGGCTCCCGGCCCTTGTGGGCAGCCCCCCAGCACTGACCACTGCACGCAGGGGGGCCCACCCAGAAGTCACATCCTACCAGGCTCCTCCTGAGGCAGCCGCAGGGTTCAGCTCTTCAGCCTCACGTCCCGCCACTTTCACCAGTGAGGTCACCCAAACCCCGTCTTCAGTTCTGCCCTTGCCTGATTCTCCAGGGCCGTCTCCACCACATCCAAGCGGGACTTAGGCTGCAGCCCAACAGACCCTTCCCCCAACACACTGGACTCTCCCGTCCTCACTCAGAACATCCCATCTGTCTCCATGTCTGACTTGGCCATTGGAAGTATTCTGCATCATGTCACTTGCTTGCTTAATAGCTCCTTTTTGCATTTAAAACAAAATCCAAATCCAAGCTCCTTACCTTGACTTATCAAAGCCCAACCTCCCCTCCTGCCACTCTTCCTGGCTAGGAGGGCCTCCTTTCAGTTGCTCCCTCAGGATGACCCTTCTCCAGCCTCGGGGCCTTGGCACATGCTGTTCCCTCTGTGCATGCTGTTCCCACCCACCACTGCAGTTCCCGTCTGGGCCTCTCACCTGTGTGGTGACCCTCCTCCCCTGGCCCCCTGCAGCAGGTGCCAGGGTGTGTGCCCTTTTCTACACCATAACAGCTGGGAACGTAGATCGGGTTTATGTGGAATGCTCTTTCAACATGAATCTAAGTGATAAATCAAAAACTTGAAAAATGGCTTTTACACAGAAGATCCTACAAATGGAGAGGATCATTCCCCACCCAGAAATGTCTCCAAGAGACTCAGAGTTGACAGCACTGTTCTGTTCTCTGACCACACCCGACTGAAGACACACACTCACACCTCGCCCTTCAGGTGTTAAAGGGCACGGGGAAAGAAAACTGAGAAAGATGGAAGTTTCTCTGGAAGCCTGAACTTTCAGTAACAATAGTACCATTATTCAAATTACTTTCTAAATATTTTTTAAAGTTATATAGTGTCCTTTCCTCCTGGAATTCGGCCTAGCACCAGTTCAGGGATCAGCTTCGAGGAGCCCCTGCTCTAGGGCGCTCTGTACCGTGCTCCCACTGCCCTGCGCTCAGGTACACAGAAAGCACCCGGCACACAGTAGGTCTCCCACACTCCTTTCTTCCCTCCCCTCAGCTGTGCTCTTCGTTTCCCTGCGGTACCCAGCACCCTGCGGTGCACACACTGCACGCTGCTCAGTGGCATCTGCTGGACAATGAATGGACTCCACCTGCTCTAGTCGAGCACCTTCCTTCTGCCCTCTGGACCCAGTCCTGGGTCACCACCTTCCCATCACTCCTCAGCACACATCTGCTGCAGCCTCCTGGATCTGTTCCCTGCTAGTTCACTTCCAGCTCATCAGCAAGGAGTAGGTCCCAGGTACTCCGTATATGCAAGATGGGCTGTCCTCCCATCTGAACCTTGCCTTCATCTCAGGTGAGGCCCAAGTCACCTCTTCGAGAGTTTTTCCTGACCGTGGCAGCCCATGGCCTCCTCACCTGCCTCCTGGTCTGGCTCACTTATCCAGGTCAGACTCCGATTACTGACTGCCCAAAGTACCTGAGTGTTACATGTATTATCTTTAACCTCCTAACAACCCTGTGAGGTGGGTATTATATTATTCCCATTTCACAGATGAGGAAATAGAGGCTCAGAGAAGTCACAGAGCTGAGACTCCAACCTATGCCTGCTGGCTCCAAAACCTCTGCTTGTTTTCAAACTACTGCATGGCATCCACTTACCATATATAACTTTTGTATGCACTTGTCCACTGCACATTTAGTGAGCACCTACTGCATGCAAGACACCAGTCTTCTTTCTCCAACTAGGTTCAGACAGCTTTTTGTTTTCTTGGCCCCCTCCTGATAAAGGTTAGGCAGAGAAACCCTAAAGGAGCCCACTATCTACAAATAACTGTAGGGAGGACAACACCCCCTCCCCACCCAGCATTAGCATTCTCTGGCTGGTGCTCAACTTGCACTGTGCTATCGGTCTGCACAGGGTGGGGGGACCTCCACCCTCGCGATCTTGAGGCCCCTTGTCTGGGGCACTGGAGGCAAAATCTGGGTTTGGGTGTGGCGCCCTCGCTAGTCTCATCTCCTGGCATTGCTCCAGATGGGCTGGCCCTTCAGGGCAGCTGCAGAGGGGAACCCACAACATTTAACCCATGCAAATTCAACTTTAGGTGTGCGCCCAGCCAAAGAAGGAGAAAGAGAGCAAGAACAAGTTAAATAATGCATGTTGTTCCACTCGAAGCCTCCTGGGGCTGTTACAGGGACTAAACGAGTGAGTACATGTAAAGCACGCATGACACTGCCCAGGGAGTTTCAAGGGCTCCAACACATGTGTTAGATCTTTTCCTTTTGGGCGTCCAGTCTTCTCCACCCTGCCTTTGTCTGTGAGTGGGGGTGTCTCTGCTTGGGCTCCCAGGCCCCAGGGTGTCCTGCTGTGCTCAGCTGGTGGGAAGCAGCTGAGAGGGGCCAGGAGAAAGGCAGTGAGGCTCTTAGTCCCTGGCAGGTCCCTCGGCCTAAGGCTGCAGGCCCTGTCTGGGCCTCGCACCTGTGTGCTGACCCCCTCCCTTGGCCCCCTGCAGTAGGCGCCAGGGTATGTCCCCTTCTCTACACAGGCCCTTCATCGAGCTCTCTTGGTTTCCCCTTCGGGTGAGACACCTGCTCCCTGCTGCGTGGCTGGTGTGAAACACTGGCCGTTAGCAATGTCAGTCCCAGCCTCTACCTTCAAGACTCACCTCACGTGTCACTTCCTCTTGGTCAAGACTTTCCTCAGGCTCCCCTACAAAGCCTATCACATCAGTCTCTGTGCACACAACAGCACCCTGTCCCCACCTCTGCCACGGGCCTCACTGAGTTGTGTTGGGACTTTCTCTCTTTACTTTCTTGTCCCCCCACAAACCCATGTGTGGCCCAGACACAGACCCAGGGTAGGAGTGTGGGGATGGAGCCAACAAACCCCTTCCCCAGCTGGGCCTTCACCTCCTGTACCTCAGTTTCCCTATCTGTAAAATGGGGATAAAGTCTCTTTTTATAGGATTTAATCCTTCTATAGGAGATTAAGAATTGTTTTTATTATTAGTTCAATGATTTAATAATTATAAAGAATTTAGAACAGTGCCTGGCAAGTAGTAAGTCCTAAGTGTTTGTTAAACAAGACTAGGTAAGAATAAACAGATCCAAGTTCTATGTCCTCAGCAGCTGGCAGTGAGTGGCCCTCGTAAGTGTGGGTGCGATGGGTAGACCCAGCCACACTTCTTCCCAGGCCTTCACAGATGCACCCCAGAGAGTACTGGGCTCCTCTGACTCTTGTTTTCTTAGCCCCCATCTTTTTTTCTCCTTTTTTTTAAGCCACTTTGTTGAGGTGTGTAAAGAGCTGTACATATGTTACTGTATTCAACGCAATGAGTCTGGGGATGAACATACGCCTGTGAACCATCTCCACCGCCAAGGCCAAAGACAGACCCTCCATCTTTTCAGGGGGCTCCTGTCCTCCCTGGACTCCTGTCCAGGGCTCCTGTCCTGCCGACTAGCTGGTAGCATTTGACCAGCGCTCGGCACAGCGATCACGCCTTCGTCCTGGCTCTCCTACCTCACTTGCTGCTTCATCTCCTCGTCCTCTTCTCTAAAAGCTGGGGTGCCCCAAGCTCTGCCCCGTCTCTCTGAGTGACTTCATCAGTCTCAGGGGTTTGAATACCGTTTACACCCCAAGGACACACCGAGGCTTGTCTCTAGTGCAGACCTACCAGCTTCTGTCACGTCTCTACTCAAAGGTCTAACGCAGCGGTCCCCAACCTTTTCGGCACCAGGGGCCAATTTCACAGAAGACAATTTTTCCACGGACTGGGGATGGGGGGTGGGGGGTGTCATGGGTGTGGGGATGTGGCATGGAGCTCAGGTGCTGATGAGAGGCCCGTTTCCTAACGGGCCACGCACCGGTAATGGGCTGCAGCCGGGACATGGGGACCGCAGGTCTAAGGGACACCTCAAACCCAAAACATTCAAAATGGAATTCTTGGTTTCCACCACTTCCTCCTCTGTCCTCACCAACTCGCTGATCCCAAAATGTGGGCTCACCCTTGTCGCCTCTCTCTCCACACCCACAGCCAACCCATCAGCAAAGCTGTCAGGGTCTCCTTTCACATATGTCCTGAGTCTGGCCCGTTCTCACCCTAGTCCAAGCCCCATCTCTGGCCTGGGCTACTTCAGGAGCCTCCTGACTGGGGTCCCCCTCCACCCTTGGCTTCTCAGTCAGGTCTCCACAGAGCAGTCAGAGCAGTCCCTTTTAAATGTGAATCGGTCACTCCCCTCTGCTGGCCTCTCATCACCCTTAGAACAAAACCCAAAGTCCTGAGCATGGCCTATAACCACCCCCACCCCTCCCACTGCTCTCCCCTGCACAGTTCCTCTCAGACACACTGTCCTACTAGCTGTTCCCAAACAGGCAAGCATGCGCTTCCCCAGGGCCTTTAAGCTTGCTGTTCCAAGTTCCTTCTTCCTACGATGCTGTTCCACGTATATCCCCAGGACCCCTTCCCTCACTTCTTCCAGGACTCTGCTCAAATGTCCCCTCTTTTGAGAGGCCTTCCTGACTACCCTGCAGAAAGCACCACCTCGCTACTCCCTGCCTTCTCACCGCAGTTAGTTTTTTTCATAGTACTTATCACTGCTTGGCATTATACGATACTTTTCTTGGTTCACTTGTTAACTGCCTGTCTTCCCCACTAGAATGTGCTCTGTAAGAGAACAGGGGCTTTGTTTTGTTTTTCAAAGCTTAGAGAACCACCCGGCATATATTAGGAGCTCAGTCAATATTTATTGCCTGTATGAATGAATGAATGATTGGCAAATTCCTAGAAGGCAGGAGCTCTTTCCGACCTTCCTATTCATCCCACTCCACCCCCAGATGCCTGGTCTCGGGCAGGGTACACCAGAGATACTCATATGTGCATGATTGCCGAACAGGCAATAAATTCTTGTGAGCAAATGAGTAACCAAGTTCCTGCAGCGTGCAGGTGCTGTGAGGAGGAACAGTCTTCCTGGGAAACGCTGATCCGAGAGAGAAAACTTAGTGTCTGATTGTGCCCTGTCCCCACCATCCTGGCCCAAGGCTGTGACTTGTTACTGGAAGGGCTTGGGGTAACCGCACAAGCCCAGGGGAGCAGAGGCCCGCAGCCTGTCGGCTCATACAACAGGACACTCGGCAGGTCTCGGCTGGGAGCAGAGGGGTTACTACGGGCTCAGAGCAGCCAGGCTTTGAATTCCTATTTAATCCTAACTGTCTTGTGAGATAGGCACTAGGAAGAAACTAAAGCTCAGAGAGATTAAGTGGCTCACCCAAGGTCTCACTGACAGTGACAGGGTTGAGATCTGACTCTAGTTCTGCCAATTGCCAATAATAAGGAACAGCAGTGGACATTTGTAGAGGATTCCCTATGTGCCAAGGTCTATTCCAGTTCCCTACATACGTGTAGCTCTCACTCAGCACTCATAATGACCTTTTAAGTTAAATACTGTTATCCTTGTTTCACAAATTAGAGCACTGAGGCTCAGAGAGATTAAGCAACTTGCTTAAGGTCACATAGCACTTTCCATTATAACACAGTACCTTAAATACTACCTCCAACGACCAAGGATTTAGATTACAAACATTCCCCAGGGGAAAATTTGCTCCAAAACACTACGGAAGGGACCTCTCGAAAGCAAACTGCAAGCTATAGATTCCACCCAGTGTGTTGGTGTGGCCTGTCTCTATCCTCTGCTGCTTCATCCTCTCTCCCAGCTCCTGGGTGATCCTCAGCCTGGGAGGGGAAGGCTGCTGCGGTCTCCAAGGCAGCAGGGCACAAAGTCCAGCCCAGGCCTTGCCCAGCGTGGCGCCCGCCCTGCACGCAGGGGCATTAATAGGTAATGACTTGCGATGAGGAAGAGCAGGGCAGAGGAAACATGGCGGTCGGAGGCCCTTAGCAGCCTGTGGAGCCTGAAGAGGAGGAACAGGGCTGAACCCTGGGGCTGAGTCAGACACCACGGACTCTGACCGATTCTTGCAAAAGAGGCAGAGTAGATACCTCAGGGGGAGAAGGGAAAAGAAGACTGACATTACTTTCAGCCTAGGGGCAGGAAAGTGAAATTCAAGCCTGAGTCTTGGGGTGGGGGACGGGAGTTTGAGCTGCTTCGAAGTGGGTTGCCTGAAATTTACACCCACCAAACATCCTCCGCGGCTGAAATTTCTCCCCACACGTCCCTTTGCAACAGGAAACACTGGTCGACACTGTCACATGCGCCCCTTGATATTTGCCAGCCCCCAAACTCCTGCTGAACTTCCAGCCATCTCTCCCCCTGGGAGCAGGATCAGGGGTGCTCAAGGCCTTGTTTTCAGGAGACTTCTGCCAGTATGAGCTGACCCCCTCGTGCTCCTGCCAAACCTTGGTCCCAACACCCATCACCCAGCCATGGGTAATTACGAGTGTAGGGTCTGCCTTCCACTCATACCACCAGCAACTTGAGGGCACACACTGGATCTGGCACAGAGTGGGTGCTCAAAACATTCATTAAACAAATTACTGATCCCCAGCTCTGGCACCAAGCCCCTTGCCCTTAGCCCCTGTGGCCCCCACCTTGGCTGGCTCTTTGGGCTCCTCTGGGCCTCTCTCCGGGAAGGAAGTGGTTAAGCATCCCGATCCTGCCTGCCTGAGCTTAGCCTCTCAGACTTAGACAGGGCTTTGGCTTGGTCTAAAGATACTGCCCCTGGGGGCTTTGGGAGAGCCTTGGGTTACACAGTTGCCTACCCCTAAGGCAGAGCCTGTGGGTAGCTCTAGACACCCTGGCTTCTCCCCCAGACCAAGAAGCATCCTAAGGTCTAGTGGGGAGGTCCACTGGGTCTCCTCAATGGCCTTCTCTGGCCTCAGGGCCTCAGCAGGTCCTGCACAGCTTTGGGAATAGTTCTGGGAGTGCCCTGGGTAAAATCCGGCAGCTTCAGCTTCCGGTGATGGTATTTGAGGATCCCAGGCCACCAAAGAGTCCCCTCACTGGGACCACCAGGGTAGATGTGGCTCTGCCTCAGGCATCTGGCTGGCCAGAGCCCAGCTCCCCACACCACCCCCCTCCCCAACCTCCTGCCTTCCTCCCCCTGCCCCCTGGCCAGCACCCGTTCCTCAGCCACTTCTTTGTCCATGGGAAATGCCCTTAGGCAGGTAGGGGGCTCCCTGAAATGCTTCTGACTCTTGTTTGGGGTCAAAGGGCAGAGAAAGATATCCAGTGTCCCTTCTCTCAATTGTCACCTCTCAGATACTGCCCTAGACTCCCTCCACATGCTTCAGTAGTCCTGAGCTGGGGGCACGAGGAGAGAGGGGCATTTGCCATGGTGAGACATTCAGAGAAGTGGCCCATCTCCAGCCAAGGCTGGAAGGAATTCCAACCCGGAAGGCTTCCCAGCCCCTGGAGGGCAGGAGGAGAAAGGACACTTTCAGCAGATCAGTTTAGCAGACCCCACACTTGGAATCCCAGTGTCCCCTCCCTCATTTTACTGAGGTTCCCTGCGGTCAGCCAAACGACCCTCGGGTGTCCCAGCCCACCCAGAGCCATCAGGCCGGGCTGGAGAAGGGAAGGGTAGTGCCGGCGTCCATTCCCCACACTCCCCGCCCAGGATTCCCGGGTCCCAGGCTTGGGGACCCCCCGCAGCTCTGACCTTGTGCCGGAATTCTCGGGCCACCTTTCGGTCCATGGCTGGGCCAGATGGAGCCCGCGTCGTCACACGACCCGGTACTTCGGGTGCCCGCTGCCGGGACCTGGCAGAAGCTGCGACAGCTACCAGCCCGAGCCGCCTTCGGAACTGGGGGCGGAGCCTGGGCCCTGTGGGCGGGGCCTTGGCGGGGCGGGGCCTTGGCGGGGCGGGGCCGCTGCGGACCGGGCATCTGGGAGGCAGGAAGACACCTGAGCTGAATCTTTGCCTCCCACTGAAGCTGCAGGAGCAAGTGCTGGTGGTGGCAGTAGTTGGGCTCTAGGCTGGTGCTCCTCTTGGAGCGGTCCCCAAACTCATGCAGTTGAGGAAGAGGATCGCGGAGACGTGGGGAGGAAGTTTGGGACTTTTTTGTGGGGGCCGGAATGTGGAGGTCCCAAGGCTCTTCACGTGAGTGCTTAGGCAGTGGGATAATCTAGTCAATTTTCTCTGGATACACAGGTAGAGGCCCATCCGCCCTCCTGAGGCTGTCAGCCTTTGCCACACATCTCACCTTCCGCATACATTCCATCGTGGCCTTCTGCATGCTCTTCTCCCACTGGGAAGAAATCAGTCCTTGCTCTGTGAATTCCTTGGGGGCAGGGCTGGGTCTCACTGTGCCCTGCAGGGGCCTGAACCGGTGTGTGGGAGTGCCCCCATCAACCAGCTTCCTCTCTCACCTTCCCTAGCACCCCCCAAACAAAACAAAACAAAAATCAAACCCCTCCACGCACACACATCCACCCAAGCATGGAAGAGCCTGGCAGTGACACCCTGATCTATGGCTGACCTTTACCCCGGGCTCAGACCGTCTGATTCGCTTGATTCAATTCAGTGAGTGTTTGCTTAGCTCCTAGGTCTAGTGCTGGGTGCAAAGACAGTGTTGAAGAACCACACCTGGGACAGACTGAGAGTTTCACAGCCAGGAGAGAGGTGATAAAAATGTGTGGATGATGGGGGAACTTATGCCTAAACTTAACCCAGGGTAGGCACCTGACCCCTTTGCACCATGTCAGGGGCACCGGCAAGGAGGTGGACAGCAGCCCACATCAGGTGACCACGTACAATCGTAAAGACTCCATCTCTGCATCCCTCCCCCCATACCTGAAGTTTTGCAAGCAGGCTATTCTTATTTGGGGTAAATTATTGCCTAGTTTAAGATGTAAATCTCTCCTGAATAAGAACCTTAAAATATCATCTATGTTCTCATCATAGCATTAGCTATTAAGTCAAGGGAAAGACTTGTGGGATTGTCAATGGTCCAGAAAAGACCACACAAAATATATCCACCTCCAACTTATTTCATTGATTCTCTACATTATAAAAATATGTTCTATGGCTGTTTATTTCATATCTAGAATCTGGGAAGGCAAGGGAGAATGTCCTTATCCAGGGGAATGCAGTCCACTGGCCACCCCAATCCTTTTTTAGTCTCACTATCCCCTAGCCAGAGACTCCCTCCATCTTCAAATGCTCCCTTCCTAGTTTTGAAGACGGCACTGGTTCTCCTCTCCCACGAATGTTCTTTTCCAAGCTTCCTCTGAGACATTGTGCCTTCACCCATTTCTTAACAAGGGTACTTTAAGGCTCCATCCTTGGCTGTCTCCTCTTCACCTTCCCATCTGTGCCTGTGGCTTCCTCCTGTGTGAGGATAGCTATGGGTGCTTTACTTACCACGATATGCCTAGAACAGTGCATGGCAAACTTGTCGAATGGATAAATGAATGAATGCATCCCAGATATATACCCCTGCCCAGGGCTCTACTGGAGCCAGTATCATCACCATTATCATAATTATCTGCAAGGCCTGGCATCTAATTGGTGTCCCCTAAGTGTTGGCCAAGTGAGTGATGTACAGGTTCCCATGTCTCTCAATCCCACCTTTTCACCATTTAAAAATTTCTCCTGGGCAGACAGTGTACCTTGTTCACAAAATTAAAGTTGTTTTTTTTTTGAGACAGAGTCTCACTTTGTTGCCCGGGCTAGAGTGCCATGGCATCAGCCTAGCTCACAGCAACCTCAATCTCCTGGGCTCAAGCAATCTTCCTGCCTCAGCCTCCCAAGTAGCTGGGACTATAGGCACGTGCCACCATGCCTGGCTAATTTTTTTTCTATGTATTTTTAGTTGGCCAATTAATTTCTTTCTATTTATAGTAGAGATGAGGTCTCACTCTTGCTCAGGCTGGTTTTGAACTCCTGACCGGGGCAGGCAGAGTGATCTGCCCGCCCCAGCCTCCCAGAGTGCTAGGATTATACAGGCATGAGCCACCATGCCCAGCCAAAGTTGTTTTTGTCAAAGTGTGGCCTCAATGGGGGCAATAACATAGGAGTATGAGGCACTTCTGTCATTTAGTCAGCATTTCCTGAGCTGGGGCCTGAGCTAGTGTTGGGCACTCAGAGGACTAAGGCATGAGCCATCCCCTAGAGGCACTCAAAACTGGGCACAGGGTGGGGATTTGGGGGCCCACTTGGAACTGCAGTGGGCTAGGACCCTGCAGGTCTGAGCCCTGGCTCTCCCACTTCCCGCTAACCACTGAGTGGCACGTCCCAGGGCTTCAGTGTGGCTCTCTGGAAAAAAGAAAGGGTAGGGCTAGACTCACCAGCATCTTGGGGCTCTAGTGTAGGGGCTTGCGGGACCCAGGTAAGGGAAGGGGGGCGAGGTGTTGAGTGCTCTGAATCCAGCCTCCTCTGGGGAGGGGTAGCCACAGGCCAAGAAGGGCAAAGACTGGGCCATCGCCTGGCGCCTGAATTATGATAATAAGCTGGGCAGTCCTGTCATTCTAGCCCAGGGAGGAGCCAAGCGCCTGGGAGGAGGGGCCAGAGGAGCCCTGGGGCATGAGAGCGAGAGGGATCAAAACCTGCTGCGAGTAGAGGTGTGACCCTGCCTTGGCGGGGAGAGGCACCTCGGGAGGCTGGCCCTACTCTCAGGCTCTCGGTCCCACGCGCCCCTATGGGAGCCCTGGCGCCCGCACTCTGCTTGCTGCTCACTTGCGTCTGGCTGTCCCGGGGTGAGCCGGCAGGGGAGTCCCTGCGGGTGCAGCTGGGTGAGAGGGGTGTGGGCTCAGGGAAGTCAGGGGCTGGGGGAACGGGCGTAGGCAGGTTGGAGAGAGGAAGGAAAGAAAAATGGTCTGAAAGAGGGCAGAGGGACAGCCTGGGAGAGGGCTGGGGAAGGGGACAGGGAAGGCAAGAGATGCAAGCTTGCAACCACAAGGGAAGAGTCCTGAGCTGGGCGGAGTGGAAGAGACCCAAAATATGGAAGTGCAGAGAACTGGGGCTGAAGGAGTGAAAGCAGGAGAGGAAGACCCTTGTGGGAGAAGACTCACCAGGGAGGGGAGAGAAAGGATTTGAGAAGGCTGCAGGGAGAGAGAATGGGGGAATGGGGGTGATGGGGGGACGGGGGTGGGAGATCCCAACAAAGGGAGGCCAAGCTTGAGTGGAGAATAATCCCCCCACCCCAGCCGCAGCACCCACACCATGGGGCAGTGCAGAGCTGCAGCCAGAGCCCACCAGGGAAGCCAGGTGAGTAGGGGTGTGCGTGTGGCTGCCCCAGCCGCCGCTTTCATCTTTATTCCTAGCAAAGGTGACCCTGGGGATTTAGCATGCAGAGTGGGCGGGCCAGGAGGTGGTGGGGAGGCATGTCCCATTCCTAGCCCCCCACCTGAGCCTAACTTATTTCTCATCCAGCCGCAGCCACCAGAAGGCGACCCTCACGGTAGGAGACACTACATCAGTGATGGGAGGCCAGGTAAAAGGAGGCCAGGTCCGGGGAGGCCTGGGGAAGGAGGCTTTGTTGGGCAGGGACCTACTTGTGTCCGGGTGTGAGGCTGGCAGGGAGCTCCGTAGGTTACAGGAGGACTGTCTCTGGAGTTATACAGGTTCCCGGTGTCTGAGGTGTGCAAACTCATAAAATAGTTCTATTCCCACTTTCCTAATCTCTTGGGGCCCTGTAACCAGCTTATATTTTTCCCCAGGAGAGATGGGCACCAAGGCCCTTTCAGGAGACAGCCAAGCGCTCCCTCCCCCAGGTGAAAGTAGGAGGATGAAAGTTTAGGGGATTGGAGTTCTCTTTTCCCCGGCCTGGCCTGTGAAAGGCCCTGGACCCTGTCAGAGGCCCTCTCTGTACTCTGAGCAGAGCCCCAGGAATGCTTTCCCTGGAGGCGAGACAAAGACAGGGCCACCTGGTGGAGGGTGCAAGGAAGGACTGGTTGAGAAGCAGAACCCTGAGCTTCTATCCTTTGAGGCTTAACCATTCCTGCCTACCCTCCCAGGATCCTTCGTGCTCATGGGAGAGGTGGCAGTTTTGTTTTCTCCCTTTGCTAAACTTCTTTGGTCTCTGAATCATGTGACTCAGGTTCTCCTTCTAATTCTGGCCTGCATTTGTGGCTTTCTTTCTATAACCACAGATACGTTCCAGATTCTACCCACAGGGTCCCCCAGAGCAGCTTGTGCCCCAGTGACCAGCTCTGGGCAGCCCCTTGAGCCAGCAGGTTGGAGAGCATCCTTTATATTAATAATAGCAGAGAGTCCCAACTGCCTGCCATTGCAAATAGATAGGAAGGCCCCAAGGTGCAGGGAGGTAGGGTGGGATGGGCATGCTTCTCTAACGTGGATTTCCTGGGTCTTTCACTTCTCGTCAGTCCATTCTTCCAGGTCCCAAGTTTTAGAAACAGTCAGATACAGTTTGAGTTGAAAGATAATGTAGTCATTCTTTTTATAGGTAGAAAAACTGAGGCAGGTGGAAGACTTGCTGGTGTCCCACAATAGGCAGGTGGAGCCAAGTCTGTCCCTTGCAGAGCCAGGCCTGTCCCTCTGCACCAGGATGCCCACAGGACTCCAGGAATCCCTGCGTTTTCATGGGGCAAATGATCCTTATCCAACACCTCATTCCACAGCAGGCTTCCTTCCTTGCTGGTTTCCAGAGTAAGCAACCCCTGCTTTTCCTTGGGGAAGGATCACAAGTGTCCAGACCAGGCGACCCAGGTAGATTTCTCACATGACTCCTTAGAGCAACAAGGAGTGAGAATGGCCTTCTTCTAAGGTGGCTAAAGTGGGGGTAAGGGAACAGAGGCCCAGGTACCAGGGACACTTTGAGGGCTCCTATCTGGAATGC